GGGACTGAAACAGAGACGTGGAGACAGAGACAGAGACGAGGAGATAGACCGGGGTGTGGGGAGGTGAGACGCGGAGGCAGGGAGACCCAGAGACTTCAGCACAGAGCAGAGTGGAGACCCAGAGACCCGGGGCGCAGAGACGGGGACGGGGACCCAGAGCCACAGCCCAGGGCCGGGCAGCGGGGGCAGAAACACAGACGGGGGACAGGACAGGAGGGACTGGGACCCAGTCCCTGTGGGGCTGACAGGGGAGGGGGACAGAGACGAGGGAGTGGCAGGCAGAGACCGCGCGAGATGGCAGAGATGGGTGGAGAGACGGCGGGGTGGGGGGAGCGTGGGAGCAGGGCCCGGAGCGCCGATCCCACGGCTCCTCGTTATAACGTGTCCGGAGGAGGCGGCGGGGAGTTGAAAGCGTCGGGAAGAGAAATCAAAACCAACACGGAAATGAGAGGGGCCATAGGGGGTGGGGCGGGGTGGGGGGAGGAAGGAGGGAGGGGGAACCCAGTGAGGCAGAGAGAGGGGAGGTGGGAGAGAGTGCACCCGGAGAGGTGCGGGGAGGCGAGACAGAGAGATCAGGGCAGAGATGGGAGACGCGGGAAGAGGAGACCCAGAGGGGCTGGTGGGGGCAGAGACACAGAGATGGGAGACTCAGAGAGATCACTCGAGGGAAGCGGGGAGAGACAGAGGCAGATGGTGGAGAGAGACTGAGAAATGGGGAGACTGGGAGGGAGTGAGAGAGGCTGGAGAAGGGCTGGGGGGACCGGGAGACAGAGAAATAGGAAAAGGGCTGAGTGACTGAGGGAGAGAGAGAGAGACCCCAAGAGGGCCGCAGAGGTGGGGAGCGAGCCGGATGGAGATGGGTGGGGGATGATGGGAAGAGAGACACCCCAGGTTGACTGGAGACCAGGAAAATGGAAAAGAGATGGTGGAAGGAGCCGGAGAAGGGAAAGGAGAGACGAGTGGGGAGAGACAGGAGGGGTACACAGAAAGTTGAGGAGACCTCAGAAGGCAGAGGAGGAGCCTGGGTGCTGGGGGTGTGGAGACCACCTCAGGTTGGGGTGACTGGGTGTTCGTCAGACCAGACAGTCTGAGGGAGATGGGTCTCTGACGGGTCTTGTCTGAGGGGTGAGGTGGTATTTATGAGGACACAGAGTCTCTGTAGTTTTCTGAGGGGTATGTAGGATTTGGGGAGCAGGGGGTCTTGGAGGATGGCCTGTTTGAGAGCTGGTAATGAGGGGGTGTGTCTAGAGGTGGGAGATAGGAAAGTGCTCTCTCAGGGAGTAGGGTCTGAAAGGTGGAATGGTGAGGGGCTCCAGTGTCTGAGGGGAGGGGTCCAAGGGATGGCGTGTCTGGATGGGGGGCTGAGAGGAGCTTCTGTCTCAGGGTGTGGGTATCTGGAGTCTTGGGGTACCTGAGGGGGCCGAGCTGTCAGAAAGGGGTGAAGAGAGGATGGAGTGTCTTAGGGGGATGAGGTACCCCAGGAGAGCGGAGTCTGAGGGATGTGGGGATCAGAGGGGTCCTATCTGAGAGGAGGCAGATCCAAGGGAAAAGGGTGATCCAAGGGAGGCTGTCTGGGGGCAGCCTAAGGGGAAATGGGTGCCTGAGAGGGAGGCAGGTTCCTGTGGCTGGGGTCTGAGGGGTGACAGCAGGAGAGACAGGAAAGGGGTGTTGTGCGTGGCACTGGGGGCTGCTCTGTGGGGTGCATGGAGCGGAGCGCAGAGGGGGCAGGGGCTGTGCCGGTGGGCGCTGGCTGTGGCCCCCTGGCCGGGTTGCAGGGGTCTGGGGCGCCGGATGAGAGGGAGCGCAGGGCTGCTGCAGTGCCAAAGGGATGAGCCAGCCCGGGGTCAGCTGGGTGGGCAGGGTGGGGGCCGGCTTGGGAGCAGGATAAATCTGAGGCAACCAGAGAGGGACAGAGAGAGACCCAGAGATGCAGAGTCGGACAGTGAGGTCAGGGGAGAGGAGGAACAGAGACAGCGGCAGAGATGGTGCAGGGGACGGGCGGGTGGCGAGAGCCAGCAAGTGTGAGTGAGCGAGCCAGGGAGGAGCAGGAGCCGCGGGAGGCTGGGAGCCATCGGTGGGGTGGCGGCGGTGGCTGGTGGCGAGCCTCTGGGCGTATGGGCTGGCCGCGGAGGGGAGGCGGCCGGGAGGGAACAGACACAGACAAGTGGGAGAGGGACCAGCGGAGCTGGGATCTGCTGCTGCGAGGGGCTTGAGCTGGGAGGAGGCAGCCGCTGGGAGGGGGAGGGTGGTGGGGCCTGGGGGGGCACCCCGCTGACCCCTGTCTGTCTCTCCCTGCCTGCCCTGCCCTGTCTTGTCCCCTGTATCTGTCTGGCCTCTCTGCAGGGCCGGCTCCGCCGCCATGGACTGTAGCTGCGTCTCCGACCTTCTCTTCGCCCCGCCCGCCCTGCCGGCTCTCTGGACCCCTGGTAACTGGCCCGGAAGCCCCGTCCCCAGCCCGCAGGCCTGTCCAGCCAGCATCCCCCTCCTTTCTGCATCTCTGTCTGTGTGTGTGTCTCACTGTCCTTCCTCCACCTCTCTGCTCTGTCACAGTCCCGTGACTACCACCCTTTAATAAAAAAGAAACTTGGCTAAAAACTTCCCAGCCACATGTCCCTGCCCCTGCCTGCTGGGACAGGAGGGTTTCTGGGTGGGTGGGTGAGGTATGGAGGCTGGAGAGGGACAAGGAGCTGGGGCCTGAGGCCCTGGGGTCTCAGCCTGCTCCCCCCCAGGACTTGGGGCCAAGGGAAGCAGGGAGACTGTCCTAGGTGTACAGGGCAGGTCGGGGACAGCGGTGGGGCTAGGTGGGGCGCCGGTGGACAAATGCGCAGGCAGGACGGCCCAGCCAGGCGGAGCCCTGGGAGAGAGGACAGCTGGCTCGGAAGTGGACGCTCAGAGCTGGGATGTGGGCATTAAGACTGGCTCGGACACACATCCAGTCTGAGTTACACACCCGCAGATGGGCAGTGTGTGTGCATGTGCCTGGGGCGTGCCCCTGTCACTCTGCGGCGCCTCTGGAAGAACAGGTGACCTGGGAGTGTGTGTGCCCGCCCGGCATCCGTCCATCTGTCTTTGTCTGAGTGTCTGCTTCTCGGTGCACTTCGGAGGTGGCCCGAGTGTCCCTGGACTGAGCCTGTTGTGATTCCTGGGGAAGTGGCTCACATCTGCATTTTAGGACTGGGGTGCTGTCTGCCAGCTCCCCAGCCGTGTAGCTGTCTCAGGGGGTGAGTCTGTGGAGTGGTGTGTGGCATTCAGAACGGATGTCTGGGTGCATCTGGGGCTCCCGGGTCCCATGTGGCACGGGCTTTTTGCATCTGTCACTGAGGACAGTGTCACAGCCTGTGTCTGCTGAGGTTGCGGGGCCTTTCCAGTGAGTGTCTGTCTCAGTGGGTCCACACGTGAGGATGTGCATCGGGGGCAGGTGTGGTTCCCCACAGGGCTGTGCGTCTGCCCGTGTGTGCCCATTGTCTGTTGTCATGTTAGGGACGTGTGGGTGTGTCTGACAGGTTTGCTGGCCCCGCGAGGATGCATTCTGGGTGTGGGATGGGCCGGGGCTCACGGGTTGATGGAACCTGTCATGTGAGATGAGAAGATGAGAAAGACTCGAAATGGAGGGCCTTAGTGGGGGGACGCTGTCTGGCCTGCCCCAGCTCTCAGGCCGGGGGGCATTCGCACCCGCTTTCATACCAGCAGCCTGGAAGGGATGCTGTTCCTCCTTGCCGCTCACCCTGAAATTCTGTTTAACCAGAAAGGGGGAGGAACTGCCCTGGGGCCACAGTCAGGGGACACTGGTGCCTCCAGCTCAGCCTCAGGCCCTCCCCAGCCTCCCCCATTCTGGCGGGCTCTCAGTTCTTACTGGGGGTGGAGGGTGCAGGAGGTGAAATCTGCCTCCTGTCTTCCTGCCTGGGTCTGGGGTCTCTGCGGAGGGGCCAGGACCGGCTGTGGCATGAGTGCGCACAAAGCTGAGCCCGGGGTCTTCCAGAGGGGAGGCAAGACCGGGCGGCTCGCCTCCCCTCACCACCAGCTGCTGGGTGTGTTTGCATGGTGGGTGCAAGACACCCACCTGAGCCATGGTTGCTTGGAGAGTGGACCCGTGGGTGCCATGGGTGTGGGTCAGGGAGATTGTTCTGCTGTCACGGTGTCATCTGATGTGCCTGTCACCTGCGTCTCCACTCGGCTCTCACCATCTCCATCACGCTGTGTGTTCTCGGAGCCCTTGGGGTCCTGCGTGTCTCGTCATGGGTGTGCAGTTGGTGGGTCCCTGTTCTGAGGGCCCAAGGAGGTGTGTGACTGTCAGGGTGGGGGTGCAGGGTGGCGTCTGGCGTATGTGCATGGGGCGCTGCCCACTGTGCTGTGCCCCAGCAGGGTGAGGCATGCTGGTGTAGCTGGGTCTCCCGGTGCGGCTGGGTGCCCCCAGTGGGTGAGTGGGTGGCTGCAGACACCCTGGTCTTAGACATACGTGAGGTGCATGCAAGGGACACATGGTGTGACAGACATAAATACATGGGCAGGGGCAGGGACACATGGGCACACAGGTCCACTGGGATGTGCGTGTGTGGGAGGTATCAGTGGGGGACTTTGGGAAGATGGAGCAGGGGGCAGGAAACAGGGAGGAGGATCACAGCCAGTATCAGATGCAGGAGAGACCAGATGGGGGGAGGGTAAATGTTGGGGGGTGCCCATCCCTGCAAGCTGCCCCCTCTTAGCTCTTCCCCATAGTTGAGGATGCAAGAGGCCCTGCCACCCTTTACCCCAGGGCCAGAACCTGGGAGAGCTGTGCCAGGAAGGGACTGGGGCTGTAAGTGCCAATCCCCAGTTTCTAGGTACCTGAGTTCTCTCCCACTATTGGGGACTAGACACCAAAAACGCTAAGGAAATGGGAACCAGGAACCCAAAGATGCTTGAGGCTGGGAGGCTGCTCCCGGGAGACTGGGAGTAGAGGCAGGACCCAGAGCCCCCGCCTTGGCGTCCTGACCCAGGCTGCCCCCTGCCTCCGTCCCCAGGGTTTGCCTTCCCGGATTGGGCCTACAAGCCCGAGTCGTCCCCGGGCTCCAGGCAGATCCAGCTGTGGCACTTTATCCTGGAGCTGCTGCAGAAGGAGGAATACCAGGGTGTCATCGCCTGGCAGGGGGACTACGGGGAGTTCGTCATCAAGGACCCTGACGAGGTGGCTCGGCTCTGGGGCATCCGCAAGTGCAAGCCCCACATGAATTATGACAAGCTGAGCCGGGCCCTGCGGTGAGGAGGGACTGGGGCCTGACCCCACCTTGCCCCTTCTCCCCTCACTGTCCCCAGGGCCGCCCCCTGGGGCAGGACCCTGCACTGCAGCTGCTACAATTACTGTGAGGGAAGGGAGGCCAGGTGGAAGGATCGGCACCCCGGCTTTGAGCCCCCGCTAGCCGGGACCCCAGCCCTCCTCTCACCCCTTCCTTGCCCTGTGACCTTGGTCAAGGGACCTGACCTCGGCTCCCCCAAACTGTTTGCTCTGTGCCCCACACCTGGCACAGAGCCTGATCAGGAGCCCGCCAGGGGCTCCCCAGCATCCCCTCATTTACCCCCCCTCTCTCCACAGCTACTACTACAACAAGCGGATTCTCCACAAGACCAAAGGGAAGAGGTTCACCTACAAGTTCAACTTCAGCAAAGTCGTGCTTGTCAATTACCCATTGTTGGATGTGGCAGCAGCCACCACCGGCTCCCCGCTCTTGCTGACCCCTGGTCCCTTTGGGGGGGCCCCTGGGCCAGATGCTCCTCCCCTCACCCCCGAGGTGAGTCAGGATACTGGGGTCCCAGAACTGGGGAATTTGGGACCACCCTGCCATGAACCCTTGGAGTGGGGGCAGCCAGTCTGAGCTGCACCCCTCCCTCCCCTCCCTCTCCAGACCCTGCAGACCCTGTTCTCTGCCCCACGCCTGGGAGAGCCGGGGGCCAGGGCGCCTCTGTTCACCCCTGAGACAGACAAACTGCGACTGGACAGCCCTTTCCCATTCCTGGGCTCTGGTAAGGAGCTGGGGTCCAGGGACGCTGGGAGGGGGGCTGCTGCCTGTGTTATTTGAGTGAAGGAGATGAGCATATACAGGGAGGGACGGGGCGCCGGGAGGAGGCTGGGGCACGGTACCATGTGCATGTGTGCGCGGGGGTGTTTAAAAGCCAGAGACACGCGGGGCAAGGCGTGGGGAGGAGGGAAACTGGAGAGGGAGACCGGGAGAAAGGTTTCCCGAGGTGCTAAAGGAATGGAGACAAGTGGGGGAGATAGTGGGGGAGAAGCAGGGGAGGGGGGTTGGGACAATGGAGGGATGGGTTAGGATATAGAAGCGAGGGGGTCCCCTTTACTGTGCCCTAGAGAGGCAGTCCCAACAGGGAGGAGCAGCCCCCGCTGACCCACCCCTGTCCCCTGCCAGGTGCCACCGGCTATTCCAAGCCCCCTGGCCTGCTGGGTCCGTATGGCCGCGCCTTCCCAGAGTACCCCTGGAACTTTAACCCCTACCTCACTGGCCCCTTCCCCAAGCTGCCCCCTTCTCTGTACCCCCCGCACTTCTACCCCAACCCTCTGGCCAGTTCCCTGGGCCACCTGCCCACGGCAGGGGCGGGGGAAGTCCCACAGCTGCGCCCCTCCTCACTGCGACTGGGGAGGGCCTGGGCCCTGAGCGCCCTTCAGGCTTGGCCACGGCCCCCCGCCTGGCCCTGCCGGGGGCTGGGGGTCCAGAGGCCGCGCTGGGCGGGAAGGACGACAGCGACTCAGAGCTGGAGATCACCGACGTCAGCGGCTGCAGCTCTGACAGCGAGGGCGACGAGGGCCTCCCCGTGCCCCCCAAGGCCAAGGCTGGCAAAGCGGGGGTCGGCAGCTGAGTTGGTCTAGGGTGCTGGATTCTGCCAAGGCGGGGACCGGGGCAGCCACCTGTGCAACCTCTTCTGTCATCTGGTCTTCCCCCAGTGTCCTGCCCCAGGCCGGGAGTGGCCCTTGGCACCCACCCAGGGCCGGGTACATGGTGGCCCAGTCCCCTTCTTCCCCAATCCCAGAATGGGGGTCTCATCTCCCCTTCCAGAGGAGGGAGGGAACGTGATGGCCTCCAGCCTCCTCCCCAAGTTCCAGTTGGAGTGGGGTCCCCACCTGGCCCCACTCCCAAAGTGCAATACGGCGCCCAGCCTCCCCCACCCCTGTGCTGTAACCTGTGTGTTTGTGTGGCCCCAGTCCTGACACCTGCCCATCCAGGCCCCCTGGGGACAGGGAGCTCAGAGCAATAACCCCGCCCCCAGCCCCCACCCAGGAGGGCCCCCCACCAGCTCCCCATGACCCCTGGTAGCCACCTCCAGAGAGTTTACTACAAAAATAAAAGGAGAATGGAAGTGTGAGAAGTGGGGTGCCCAGCGTGTGGGTGACAGGCAGGTGGGGGGGACTTGGGGGAGGGTGTGGGTGCCTGGGGAGTAACCGCTGAGACACGGGAACGGCTGAATGAACAACTAAGAGAAGGGTGGGAGGCGCAGAGGGAGACGGTGGGGCGCCCAGGAAGCCACGCCAGCCCGGGGGCTGCCAGGGCCCACCCGCCCCCCACACACACGGATCTCTCCTTACATAATATATATTAAAAAATAAACCTCCAAATCCAGGATATAAAAACAGAGCAAAGGCACTTGGGGGGGGAGGGAGGGGTGGTCTGGTCTCCCCAGACAACACTGAGATGGCCCGCGTAAAGGGGGCCGTGCTTTGGTGCCCCCCCAGAACAAAGCCCTGAGTCCCCCAAGCGGAAGGCAGAAGGGGAGAAGGCAGGGGTGAGGGGGCGGCAGTGATTCCAGCTGGCCCGGCGTGGCCTGGTGGCCGGCTCTCCTCTGGTCCTTGGGGTGGAGAGGCGGCGGCAGCTGCGTGGCGGCGCGGCCCTCACGTCCTCTTGCCTCCATTACTCTCCTTGTGGAAGGTCTGAGGGATCTAGGAGAGATGGAGAGAAACCGGGATGAGGAAGAGAAAGGAAAGGTAGGGGTGAGAGCCCCCAAGCCAGAGAAGCAGTGACCGAGGTGGACAGACTTGGGAGATCAGGCCTGAGGGAGAGAAACACAGGGGCTATGGAGAGGGGCCCCCTGAGGTGCCCACTCCCACCCTCATCTCCAGGCCATGCTGTCACCCCATTCCCTGGCCTCCCACTCACCTGCCTGGGGCAGAAGCCTCAGGTGCAGCCGGGCTGGGGCATAGTGAACAAACTGAACAACTCCTTGAGGGTGAGTCGCAGGCGACACAATTCCTCCTCCATGTCCTAGTTGAGGGACATCAATGAGAGGGGTCCCTCCACTGAGTCAGTCCCCCTGCCCCCCATTTCCAGGCCACCACCATTAACGGTTTCATGATCTCCTCCAGGTCCAACAGGTCCTCTTGCATCTCTGTCCGGGTGGAGCTCTGGGGGCCACCCCCTGGGACGCCTTCCCCTTCTCGGGGAGGCCCCACCCCATTGTCTTCCTCTGCCATGAGCCGCTTCAGGGACAGCACTGGCCAGGGGCAAGAGGACAGAGTCAGAGGCTGAGGGGCTGGGGGTGGGGCACCAGGCGAGGCTGAGTTTTGGGTTAGCCAGGCCTGCAAACGGCGTCCAGGAGGGGGAAGGGGGTGTGGAGATGAGGTCATGGTTAGGGTTGGAGCGGGGTGGGTCAGCATGGAGATGAGTCTATGGCTTGAAGGTCCAAGGAGGGATGAGGCTGCAGGAGGAGACTTAGGGCCACCAGGCTGGGAGGGGGGTGTGTGGCTTGATGCACATGTTTTCTGGAGGCACAGGTGCAGGAGTGGTCAGGGTTGGGTTACCTTTCTGATAGGCCTTGGCAGAGAGCTGGCCCTCGGGTCCAGATTTGCAGAAAGGCAGGAGGGCACTGAGCAATTTCTCGGTCCGGGCTAGGTGGGGGTAGGGTGGATGCTCAGATCCTGCCAGGCTTCCTATAGACACCCCGCACCTTCCACCCCCAGAGTCCCTCAGACTCACCGTCAGCCGGAGGTATCTCTCGGCTGCCATTGCCATTCTCAGAACTGCTGAGCAGGTGTTCTCGGGTACTGGGGGGAAGAAGTAATGGGTGACCTCACACCCCTGACCCTGAGGTGTGGCAGGGGCGGGGAGACAGGGACAGAGTCGAGGCTGGGGAGAGGGACAATCCTGGCCCACGGAAGACAGACGCCTGGGCCAGGGGCAGACAGGCCGTGGTGGGGTATACAAACACACACACACACACACACACACACACACACGGACAACATGCAGACAGCACTGGAGCTGGGGCTCTGGGGACACAGAGAAAGCCACCCCTGCCCCACTGGCCTTCCCGCTCCCTCCCTGGCCCCCCTCACCTGCTTGGGCTGGGCCGGGGTTTGGGGCGGGAGGCAGGGGCGGGGACCTTCAGGGATCCAGCAGTCTCCGTGATGAGGGTGCACCAGCTGAGGGCACAGACCAGACCCAGGGCAGTCAGAGCCCCCAGACCCTGTGCGGGGGCTTCCCCCAACCATCCACCTGTGCTGGGTGCTAGGACCCAGCCCTCCTCACTTCTTCCGCTCTGACACGGTCTGCGCCACCAGCTCGTAGATCTGGGCCTCCTGGTCCCAGGTGAAAATGACGTAGAAGGCTTTGTGATCTGTGGGGGGGGAGGCAGGGTTCAGAGCCAGGGTCACCCCATGTATGCCCTCAGGCCTCCCCTGATTCAGTTCTCCCTTAAGCAGTCAGGAAACCAGCCCCCAGGTCTTGTCCTACCTACAAAGCCCAAGTGGTTTGTTAGCAAATCCCTCCTCACTGCCCCCCATCTTCCTTGCCAGTTCCCCACTGATCCCCAAGTGGCAGCCATGGCGTCTTTTAAAAATGCCAGTGAGACCTGGCAGCATCTGCCTCACTCAGTAACATCCCGGCCCCGCCGGCCCCTCTGGGGCCCTGCCCTCAAGGGTCCTTAGTGGCTCCCTCCCTCCCATGTGCCCCCCTGGCCCACATGGGCCTCACCAGTGGCCACCTCGCGGGTCATGGCGGACGTGAGCCGCAGCACTGGCCGCAGCATGGTCTTGCCGTCGGGAGTGGGTGTCAGCGTCCTGCTGTGTGACTTGAGCAGCAGCCGCTCATCCTGGCGCTGGAGCAGCAGCAGCAGGTCATCCAGCAGCAGCACGTGCACCTCTGCAGGGGTAAGGCGTGCTCAGCACCCCCTGCACGCCCTCCCCGCACCAGCCCCGCTGGACGCTGCCAGGTGCTCACCCACAGCCTTGTCCTTTGTCACCCGCCAAGTCAGCGGGCCCTCGTGGACCAGCTTCTTCTTGGTGATGTCCAGGTTCTGGACAAGGAGAGTGATGGTGGGTGAAGGCGAGGGTGGGGTAGGGTGGGGTGGGGACGGTGGGGTCAGGATGCACTGGGCTGGGAATGATTGGGAATGACCAGGGGTGGAGCTGGGGAGAAACCCGAAGGCAGCAGGGCCAGCAGGGGATGGGGGGCAGAGGGGGCCACCTTGAACTCGCTCAGCATGGGGTCACTGCTCTGCCGCAGGTGGGACAGGTCCAGGCGCCGCTGATAGTCCTTGAGCCGCTGGGGCAGAGAAAGGGGTGTCAGGACAAGCCTAGGCCGGGCCTCCAGCTGCAGGACAAGCTGAAGGCTGGGCTGACCTGGCGTATGTGCGCCCCACTGCCCTGGCCAGGGGTCACGCCAGGCTCACCAGCAGGTCCTCCATGTCCCGTACGGCTTGGTTAACGTGGTGCAGGATATCCCGGCAGCACTCGGCTGCCCGCTCCACCTTCACCCGCTCCGTAGGCTCTTCTGCCGGCAGCCAGAGAGAGCGGTCCCTGTGAACCCCAACCAGGAAGCCCTGGTCCCACGGCCCAGGTCAGAGTGGGGCGAACAGGGCCGGGGCCTGCCTACCTGTGTTCTGCCCGATGCTCTGCAGGAGCAGCGGGTACTTGGTCAGACGCTGCATCTCAGTGGGGATCATGTCCTTCAGCTGCAGGCGGCGGCACCGCGGCCGACTCTCAGCATCCTGAAGGGACAGTGGTGCTGAGGCGGCCCATGTTGGGGCTCGCCTCAGGACACCCCTCCTCTGGGGACCGGGGCCCAGTCCCCCCACCTCACCTGCACGAAGTTGCAGAACCGAGGTTCCTTGCGCTGTTTGGCTTTGAGCTGCTCTAAGGCAAAGGATTGGCGGCTGCAGAATCGGGAGGAGATTTTCTGGAACCAGGAGCCCTCGGTACCATCAAACTACAGTGAGATGCAGGCCAGGGAGGGTGTCTCAGGTGGGGCAGGGAAGACAGGGCCTCGGGTGGGCATGGCAGCCTAGACAGGACGACAGAGCTAGGGGCCTGGGGTCTCGAAGGTGGTGGGGGTCTGGGGGCAGGCTTGGGCTGGGGTCCTCACCCGGGCCAGCAGCACGTCTCCGATCTCCTCAATGAGGAAGCCACTCTCCTGCCTCCGCTTCATCAGCTGATCAAGGAAATGGGCTGTGGAGAACGGTGATGGGGGGGGCGGGGGATGCTACCAGACTGTATGGAGAGCACACGGGGATCTGATCCCCAAGGCCTGTGGACCCATCCCCCCACCACGTGCTCACTGATGTGTCCCCTAGAATGTGAGCTCTGGGGGTCCGCAGGGCTAGAACAGAGGCTGCCAGGGTTCGGTGCTCAAGGAGAACGTGGCAGGCTCCAGGTCTAGTGGCTGAGGCCTTCCAGACAGGGGTGGTGTGTGGTGGCGGGGGTCTGCGGCTGAGTACTCACAGTGCACTTCAATGAGCTCGTCCAGGCTGGGGAAGATGTTCTGGAGCTCGTCTGGCGGGAAGAAGCCCCCCTCCGCCATGGGCTGGTAGAAGAGGTCATGGAGCACCCGCAGCATGCGCACGTGGGCTGCCTCTGTCACCAGTAGCTCTGCGGGTGCCAGGCAGGAAGCAGGGTTGGGAGGAAGCAAAATCTGGGGGTGCAGTCTCAGAGACAGGCTGGGGGTGTGAGGAGGTGGCAGCGGGATGGGGATGGTCATTTGCCCTGGAAGCAGTCCGACGAGCTCTTGAGCTACAACCTTGCAGCTCTGTTCCATGTCTGACTGTCTAGCCTCGTTTCTCGCACAACTGGTCCCCTCCACCCATAGGCTGATATGATAGCTTTGGATCTAGGGGTTCCCCCAGCCGGTACAGGCCTGAGCAGACTAAAGGCGTAATTTTGTGTTACACGTATTTTTTTTGGTGAGACAAATCACTATCCTGTCACGTGGCAGGCACTAGCCATGCTCACCTTTTCATTAACTGAAATGAAGTAAAATGCAGAAATTATGTGGCAGGGTGGCAGCTGTGTTGGGCACAGACATGGCACAACGCCATCATTCCAGAAAGTTCTATGGGATGGTAGAACCTTCTGGTAGAACGCTTCTGTTCTGAATGTATAACCTCTGTGACCCAAAAAGTGCTCACCAACTGCCCTAAAACCTCTGACTGAGAATTCTTTCTAGTCAGAAATCTGTCAGTAACCTCCTACAAAGCTTCCGAAAGAGTTTCCTACCTTTTGCCAAACTCCACGCACACAATTCTAAATTGCAAAAAAGAATCAAGGCGAAAACTAAAATTCCCATCATCAGCCAGACGCAAGCCCTGTAATATATCCTCCCAAACCCTTCCCTGTGGCTAAGATCTCCACAGTAACGGCACATTCGAAGGCGCTTATTCTGTGCCCAGCACCGGGTAAGCTTCCCAGGAGTCTTGTGAGACAGGTATCACTGCCCACGTTCCACAAAGAAAGAAACAAGGCTTATGCCACAATTCAGTTTCATAGACTGTTTCTGGCTCTTAATAATAGCACCACCGAGGACTGCGGGAGACTCTATTGGCTGGACACCCGGTTCTGGCCAGCGGGCTCTCTCGTTCATGTAGCAAGTGGCCGCCTTCAGGTTCTACCCGTCGCAATGCCAGGGTGCACGGGTGGACGGCTCTCTGCGTCTGCCCGTGCTTGGCCACACTGGCTCAGGGGGCCTGGCACTCACCGCTGATGACCTCCTGCCGCTTCACCTGGCTCTTGGGCAGGCTGAGCAGGGTGCCTGGGGGGACGAGGTCCCGCCAGCCAGGGGGTTCTTCTGGTTCCAGCTCTAGTCCTGACCTCCCTGGCTCCCCATCATCTCCAGGCTCAGGGCTGTGGAACAAAGGCTTTGTTAGGGTTCCGGCTCAGGCGGTCCAGGGAGGAGACCCCTCTGTGGCCTCGGCATACTATGCCCCCGGGGTGGCCCAGGCTGCAGACCAACCCCCAGATCTCTAGAAGGAAGTATGCCCCCTCCCTGTGATCACTGCAGGTCCTCCATGAACTCAGCACCCAACACCCACACAACACCCGTGACTGGCAACAGCCCCCATCCTCCCCGACTCTAAGCTCCTTCGCAGACAGGGGAGAAATGACGTACGTGGCTCGTCGGGTGGGGCCAAGCACGGCCGTGGCGGAGCTGGGGTCCATGTCCACGTCGCTCCGGGAGCGGCCCCCACCCCGGCCCTTTGCCCCGAGGCTGCCCCGGGAAGTCCGGCGGCGGTCACTCACCCGCAGGCTCTCTGAGCGCCCCAGACGCCCCGACAGCCTGGACCCCGAGGCCAAGGACAGAGTCAGGCAGAGGTCAGGACAGAGACAGGCAGAGACCAAGACAGGGAGGGACCAGGACAGGGACAGACAGGGAGATACCAGGACAGGAACAGAGATGGGGGGAGACCAGGACAGGGACAGACAGGGACAGAGACAGGGAGAGACCAGGACAGGGACAGACAGGGAGATACCAGGACAGGAACAGAGATGGGGGGAGACCAGGACAGGGACAGACATGGACAGAGGCAGGGAGAGACCAGGACAGGGACAGAGACGGGGAGATTGGGATAGGGACAGACAGGGAGATACCAGGACAGGGACAGAGACGGGGAGGGGGGGAGACCAGGACAGGGACAGACAGGGACAGAGGCAGGGAGAGACCAGGACAGGGACAGAGACGGGGAGATTGGGACAGGGACAGAGACCAGGACAGGGACAGAGAGGGACAGAGACCAGGACAGGGACAGAGACCAAGACAGGGACAGACAGGGACAGAGACCAGGACAGGGACAGACAGGGACAGACACCAGGACAGGGACAGACACCAGGACAGGGACAGACACCAGGACAGGGACAGACAGGGACAGACAGGGACAGAGACCAGGACAGGGACAGGGACAGGGACAGCAGAGACCAGGACAGAGATCAACATGCAACAGAAGAGAGAGTCAGAAGGAGCAGTGGATTAGGGGGTGCTGGGGCAGTGGGGAGGGTGGTCATGAGGGGTACTGAAGTTTGGCAGGGGGAGGGGAGGCAAACCCATTCAAGCCATGGGACTGACCCCTCCCTTCCCTGAGGTGGGGGAAGGGGCAGAGCAGGGAGCTGGGGTGGGCAGGGTTTCAATACTTAGCTCTTTAACAGGGAAGGTGATGTCCCCCACCCCGTCCCCCGTGCACCCCTCACAGGGGTAAAGGGGAGGGGTTGGCCAATGGGAAGAGGGGTAGGGCTGGGAGAAGTGGGGGAGGGGCTGGCCCATCCCCCACCCAGGGCCCAGGCACCCACCTCTTCCACCTTCTGGGGAGAGAGGGGCACAGGGTCAGAGGTGGGCCCAGATGAAACCCACTCACCTCCCCACACCCGCCAAAGGGTCCCCAAAGCAGCGGCACAAGGACAGGCAGGGGGCAAAGCCTGCCCCCCAACTGTGAGGGGGACAGGGCCCCCAGGCTGGCGTAGAGCACAGAGGGTGGGGGGCTGAGGGGAGGGACACCAGGAGCAGGAGCAGGAGCCAGGCTGCGGGTGGGGGCTGGAGGCTAAAAAAGAAGGGAGAGGGGTGAGAAGTGGCCAGAGGAGCTGAGGGGTGAAGAGGAGGAGGAGACTATGAGAGACAGGGAGGGAGGAGGAAAACCAGTGAGGGAGGAAGGAGAAGGAAGCAGGGAAGAAAAAAAAGGAGGAGATGAAAAAGGAAAAAGGGGAAGAAGGAAATAAGGAAGGAAGAAAAGTGGAAGAGAGGGTGGGGCAGAGAGGAAACGGCTGGAGACAGGCAGGTGCAGATGGCAGCGCCCAGACACCCCGCCCCAGACCCGTGAGCCGGGTGCTGCGCCCCTCCCCTCCCCGGCCCAGCCCTGGGCACCTCTCTGTATCAGCACCCTCCTCAGTGCTCTCCAGGGGCGTGGGCGCCTCCAGGCTCGCTGGGCCCTGGGGGGGCAGGTCCCCCAGCTCCAGGGTGGCATCGGCACCTGTGAGGGCGGTGGAGGGAAAGCAAGCTGGCTGAGGCTCCTACACAGTCAGGTAGGGTGTGGGGGCCTAGAGCTTAGCAGATGCCAACAGGGGATGGATAGCTGGAAGGCTGTGGGTAGCTGGGGCCTGGGGGAGGCTAGATGCTCCACCCTCAAGGCCTCCACATCCATTCCTGCTCCCCACCCTCAGCCTGAGAAAAGGGCTTCTGAGAAGAGGACATGCCCACTCAGAGAAGAGACGGAGACTCCGAGAGGGGGGTGACAGCTAGGACAGAACTTGGGGGCCGTGGCCTCAGGGTTGGACCAGGCTTGAGATCCAAGGGTCTGTGAGAAATAAAGTTAATGTGCTGTCAGCTTCACTGTCACGGGGCTGATTGGCAATGGGCTCAGAGGATTCTGGGAAATGAAGCTGTGGGGCTGATGGGAATCTCAGTGGGGGGCACGTGGCAGGGCAGCAGGAGAAAGGTGGGAGGCGAGGAAGGGTGGTACATTGAGGAAGGGGATGGTCATTAACACAGGTGAGTGGGGAGAGGCAGACGCGGCAAATGGAGGGGTGGTCTCGTAGGGGCAAGGTTGGTATCTGAGAGGGCATTTCGGGGGCGGGCAGCACTTCTGCCCTGGGGACTCAGGTGCTGGGGGAGCCCTGGCCAGGGCAGTCTCACCTGGTTCCCTGTCTGGGCTATCGCTGGAGAAAGGGTGCAAAGAAACTCCAGGGGCATCCTGTCCAGGGACCCCAATATGCCGATCCCGGGAGGGTATCCCCAGACCTCCCTTCCGGTCTGCAAAGCCTGATTTTTCAGCTGGGGAGACAGCAGGGAAGAAAGTGGAAAATGAGCTCAGAGACTAATCTACAGTGGCCTGGGGGATCCAGGACTGCATTCCAACCCCTTCCTCCCCGACACCCAGGAGACATGGAGACATCGTTTTCCCCCAGACCCAGGAGTCCAGGCCCCCAGCTCCCTCCCTCAGACCCAGAAAGTCCCCGTTCCTCCCCTCTCAGGTCACCAGAATGGATGCTCTAGCTTTAGGATCATACCATCAGCCTCGACTTTAGGGTGTCGAAAATCTGGGGCTGAAATGAGAGATAGGACCATAAGGGGGGTGCAGGGTGGAGAAGTTGGGGCGAGACTGGGGCGGGAACCTCACCTGGGGTCTCTCCCCGGTTCCATCGGGCCGGGTCTAGGAAGCTGCTCAGTCCCTTCTTGGTCTTACTTGGCTCATCTGACCGCCGGTTCCCCATCACCTGTGGGAGGTGGGGAGCAGGGCGAGGAGGGCGGACATTTTGAGATGCTGACAGTGTGGAACTGGACCCCTCAGGGCTCAGTGGCTCCCCAAGGAGTCTCTGGGAAGAAAGGGCCAGGTTTGGGTGCTCAGGGAAGCACCTTTTTTCTGAAGAAGTTCCTCCCCGACTTCTTGTCCATGCTTTTGGTCCGCACCCCAAGGTGGCGCATATACAGACTGATGGCACTGAGCACAGCGGAACTGCGGGGTGACGGGGATTTGGTGTGGGCCCCAGTGTGCCCGCAGATGCCCACAAGCCCACAACTGCCCCATGGCCTTCCCCTCTGTGGTCACTTCCCACCCCAGCCCATAGCCACTTCCTGCTGAACGTCTGAGGAAAGGGAAGGGAAGAGGGCTGGAGAGAGGACGGGGCCAGGCCCGCTCTGCGGCCCAGGAGACTGAACACCTCCCCACCATCCTTGCTTCCGTCACCTCTTTTCCTCATCGGCAGAGATGGTGTGCCTGTGAGGAGAAGAAACGCATTTGTGGCAGATTTGCCAAGCCGGGGTTCCCGCCCACTGGAGGAATGCCCAGTCGCTGTCCCCACTGAAAGCTGGGACAGGGAGAGAGGTGAGGGGGGAGCAATGGGGAAGGATGGTGACGGGAGGGAGGAGTCTCATCCTCGCAGGAAGGTGGACAGGAGCTGAAAGGACAGGACCCAAGATCTGGAAACTGGGGGGTGGGGGACCCCAGAGCTGGGACGGGAAGAGTAAAACCAGATGAACTAAATGCCAGACTGGGGGGACTCAAAAGTCCGAAGAAGAGCCCAAATGCTAACAAGTGACCCTGAGGCTGCAGAGGGAGACAGAGGAGCGGGAGTGGAGCCCCTCCCCTCCGCCCGGGCTGCCCCACTCACTGCATCTCCTCCAGCTGGGCCAGCAGCCGCTCAGCCACGTGCCGCTCCCGGGCCTCGAAGCTGGCTCGGTCCCGCCCCACCCAGACCTCCAGCTGGGCCAGCTCGTGCTCCGAGGGCGTCATGCCCATGAGCCTCTTGGAGCGGAAGTCCTCTAGCTGCCGGCTGACGGCCTCCTGCTGGCTCTGCGCCACCTCCTGAATGAACTGCCGCTGCATGTCCTCGGAGAGGAGGTCAGGCCTCGAGCGGTCTGTGGGGGCAGGGTGGGGTTGGGGGGTGACAGCTCTCCAGGCCGAGTCCCCATCTACCCTGGGATTCCACCAGCCCCGCTTCCTCGGGTGGCCGTGGCCAGGAAGGGATGAACGAGTCTCCAAGGGCGTATGTCTTCCTCCCCGGGAGTCCTGGCCCCCACTGGAGAACTCTCCCGCATCCCAAAGCCTCCACCTCCTTTCCTTACCAAGTTCAAAGGCAACCGTGGAAGGGACTGGCACCCGAAGAACCTGCTCGGGAGAGAGAATGGGGTGAAGGCAGGACTTGGACAGGGAGAACGGCAGCCCAGGCTTCTGGGGGGGCATGGTGGCCTGAGAGGAAAGCCAGACTACCCTTCACACTGCCCTCAGCAGGGTGCAGGCTGGAAAGCACAGGATAGCTCTCTAGGATCAAGGGGTGCCTAGAAGGTATCTCTTACCGCGGTCTTCTCCAGAAAGCTGTGGTAGAAGTCAAGGAAGGCCTTCTTGGCTTCCTTAGGGGCCAGTGAGCTCAGCATATCCGCGTGCAGGCAGCAGAGCTGGGGAGACACGGAGCATGACCTATTTGCCCTTCCACCCCACCTGAACCACAATTGCCCTTAGAAAGCCATGGGGTATAAATTCCACCTCCTCCGGGAGGGGCACCCTGATCTCTACCAACCCCACAACACGCCCTTGTCTCCCTCCCAGCCTCACCCATAGTCTCCCCAGGGCCACTAATCTTCTATCCAGTGACGTGGTTCTGTTTCTTCACCAGCAGCAGCAGCAGCAGCAGCTAGGTGCACACCAGTCATTTAACTGTTCAATCATAGAGCTAAGGTTGTCCCACTTTACAGATGAGAAAACTGAACTCAAGGTCACAGAGGTAGCAAGTGCAAATTGGGACTGAAATCCAGGAACCCAGAGCACCACACACTGTTGCCCAGAAATATTGAGTGCAACTTGAGGGCTAGTGTTTGGGGGTGGGTGGGGAGTGGGGTTCTGATTCATGTGTCACAATACAGGGTCCAGTGCCAGTGGGGGCTGGGCAAATTAAATCAACCGGGTACAAGTGGGCTTAGTCACCTGTTCATCAAGCCTTTCCTGAGGTCTCAATGCAGTGGAGACTCCAACCTGTCCTAACTTCCTGGGGGGTCTTATTAGGTAAGAGACATGGTTACAGTGTGCTAAGGACTCCCCCCATTATGTGTGGGGTGCTGTCTCTCCACTGTTAACAGTTTAAACAAAACTATGACCACATCCCCACCCCCCCATAAAGCAAAACTCCATGGCAAGCCGGTAGGAAGCAGTCCAGGGGACCACAACCATCTCTCAGCTGCTCCCCCAGCAAATGAAGTGAGGGAGCAGTATGAGGACAAACCTCAAAATGCCTGAGGCCATCTGGGTGACCCCAGCCCAGCCTTGACCCTCACCAGGCCTCAGTTTCCACATCTGTAAAAGGACACAGCAGTCAGCACAAAAGCTGGCTGAATTCTAGTTCTAGAAAACCCCAGGCTCATGAGGGGAGCCCCCTTCTCCAGAGAGCAGAGCCTCCATGCAGGGGGCTGAAAGGGAGGGGTACATCTTCTGGAGAGAAGGCAATCTCCTGATATCCTGAAGTTTCTAAAAAGTGGGGACAACCCATGTGCCCTTTCTGGTGCCCCAGGTGCCCCTTCCTGGTACTTCTGTCAGTCTCCGAGCTTTCTGGGGGAGGGAGGCTGTACTCTGAACTTCCAGGATAATGCAGTGCCCTGGCCTGTGCTGGCCCGTGTCTGGTCTTCTTGGGCCAGGAACCTGTCGACAGAGCCCCCCCAGCCAGCACTGCAGTTTCTCCTTTCTGAATCACCTGTCTGTAGATTCTGGAGGGGTTTCTGGAAGGCCTGGCTCTCAGCACCTCCCAGATACTTTCTGCCTGATACAGGTTTCAGGATCATCAGTTTATTCTTTCTCTGCTTTGTGGGCTGCTGCTGGGTTTTCCTGTTTCTGGCTCAGAGTCTGCTGAGGCCCTGGAAGGCTAAGGGCATTCTCCTACCTCAACCCTGAGTGACTGCTGGTAGCACCTGCTAAGAAGGCTGTGGTGGGGAGGTTGATTTAAAGTCTGTGGTAAGGGGTGCTGTCGCTGATGGGTGGCACTGTCACTTATGGATGTCATGCAGTAGGCGTGGGCGGGGACTGGGCAGGATTCTGCCAGGCTGCTGAATTCTCTGCAGCCCTCTGTGGGACCTGGCCTGTGCCCTCTGCCTGCGCTAGCCTCTGAGGTTTAACTGCCGGGTGGCGGTTCTTTGGTTCATCTACAGTGCTCGGTCTGAATTGGAGGTTAGACCTCCAACTGCTCGGTCTGAATTGCTCCTCAGACACTCGGGGCTCAGCACTGTCTAATTCACTGAAAGTCCGGGACTGCCGGGGCAGGCCCCGCCCACCCGGCGACCCCGCCCACCAGTATAGGCCCCCACCCACCCACGAAGCCCCGCCCAGCCCTCACCAGGGGTCCGGGCTCAAACTGCAGGGCCACGTGTTGCAGGAGGCTCATGAGGTGGGCTGGGCGCCGCTTCACCTGCTCCAGGCTCTGGAACTGGCTGTTTTGCTCCTCTGCGTTCTGAGGGGTAGGGGTAGCATGGGAGTGGGGAGCAGAGAAGGGGCATGGGCTTGACCCTCTCCTTCCTTGGTGACTATGTGGTGGGGCTCAGGGAAGGGGTGTGTGAGGGGAGGGTTGGTGGGGAATGGTTGAGATTTAATGTCACAGTGGAGGGTGATGAGGCCAGAAATGAGATGGAACAGAGAGCTGTGCTGTAACTGGGGGGTGAAGGGTGTTCCAGGATGGGGTGTGGGGATGAGGTAGATACCAGGAAGATAAGAGAGGAGGGCAGTGGAGGCAGGGACAGAATCTGAGGATGGAGAAGGGGACACTGAGGATGGGACTTAAGGGTCCAGGCCCCAGGAGTCTGGGACAGGAGTTCTTCCACCCTGCCATCTCCTCACCGTCTCCAGCTCATTCTCAAAATCCTCATCCTCAGCCCCAATGATGCTGACGGGCACCAGGCCAGGCCGGGGAGGCCCAGGGGCCTATGGAAAGAGAGGGTTGGCTTAGGCCCACAGTGCTCCCCACCTCGCAGCCCCCCAGTGCCCTCACCCCTTGGCTTTCTCCACTCACCACCCCTCGGGCGACGTCTTCTGCCTCCATGGGCTCTGCAGGGCTGAGGGGAGAGGAGGGGCAGTGGTTAGGGGGAGTGGGAGGAGGCACACAGGGCTGTTAGTCACAGATTCCTGGCCCAGGTGTGAAGGTGAGTAAACAGCCTCCCCCATCCTGGCCTCCACAGCTCAATGGGGCCTCTGTATGGCGACAAAGAGCCCTTCAGAGGCCAGCCAGGGCTGGAGCCCAAGGACAGGGAGCCTGTGGGGGTGGTGGGAGGGAGTGGAGGCCCAGAAGTTGGGTCCATGAGAGAGCTGTAGTCACAAGAGCTTGCAATTTGGGGTCCTCAACTGAAAGGAGCTGGAGGCCTGGACTCCTGGGTCTGAGGGAAAAGGAGCTGGGGGCCCTGACTCCTGGGTCTGGAGACCAGGGCCCAAGTCCTGGGGAGGTAGGGCCTGGAAACAAGCCAAGTTGGGAAGGTAGGAGGGAGAAAACTGGGGCACAAGGGGTTTCTCCTCTGAAATGTGACAGACTTGGGACAGGATGTTGCCTCTGAACCCACCAGCCCCACTTCCTGTGACAGGAAGTCACAAAGGCAAACCCCGCAACCCGCTACCCTCTCCACTTAAGAAAACAAAACTCTGATCCCTCCTCCCTCAGGGACCAAGAGTCCCCACACCCAGAAGTTCTTCCCCTCAGGGACCTGGTATCATTCCAGCTGCCAGTCCCACAAAACAAGGACTGGTCCTCAGACAGCTCCTCCCCAAGGTATGTCTGTCTCCCTTACCCCCTTGTCTTCTTTTCCCCAGCAGGCTCTCCCTCAAATCTGCCTCAAGTCTTTGCCTCTTTTCTGTGTTTCCTTACTTTTCTTTCTTCCATCAGACCTGTCTGTTTTCTGTCTCTGCTTCAACTCCCTCTTCCATTTCCCCACAGCTGGCTGTACCCCCATTCCTGCTTTTCTTGCTGTCTTTCCTCACTCTGGTCTCTGCCTCAGTCTTCCCACATCTGGTTCTGCAGTCCCTGCTGTCTCAGTCTCTCTCTCTCTTTTTCCCATCTCCTGCCATTTCTTCCATCTTGTCTCTTAGAATTTCCACTTCTCCCTGCGTATCCCCCCCAACATCTTCTGTGTCCTTAATTAGTCTGACTAATGCCACACAAGCCAGTGTCAGGCGGGAAGGAACCATGGAAACAGGGGTGGGGTGGACCAGAGGTCTGGGTCCGAGGGCTCTCCCACAGCCCAAAGCTATTTATAACCTCCATGGCCTGAGACCCACCCTTCTCCCTCTTCCACAGGCCTCCTCCCTAGCACTCAATAAATGGCAGCAATGGTTTTGATCACGATTATGAAACAATGATGCTTCTTGGAGCATCCAAATGCCATCCTGTGGGTTCACCCCAGCAGGCATCATTTTTATCCCACTCCATAAGTGACCCAAGCTCCAACACCCGAGCCTCGATCATTTAAGATTTGTGCACTGTTAAATGTTCACATCAAAAAACTTGCAAACCAAGGCAGGAAAATAAGAGTAATGATTTATTATGAGACCTAAGCCTTCAGAGCACTTAGCGACCTGGATTTTGTTGCCAGTGCTTCTTGCCTATGAACTCACTTAGCTGCAAGCAACCCCATGCTGTTAGCATTCCCACTAGAGGTGGAAAACCTTCACCAGGCCACCAGCTGCCACTTCTGAGCTGGAAAACATGACCATGGTCATGGATGGCCCAAGCCCCTCCCACTCTAGGGTGGAAATGTTCAGTAGAGGCAGGGAGGTTCAAAAGGGCAAAGGAGAGGGCACACATTCTTGGAGTGCCAGGCAGGCCCTGAACATGCACTTGACACCTGTTACCTCTTTTCTGCCTCTTCACAACAGTAGGGAACAATAGCTAATAACACTTCATGGCACCAGGTGCCATCAAGTGTGTGCCAGGCACGGCTGCTTGATGGTATCAACTCGTTTTATCTTCTCGGTGAGAATGATTATGATCCACCATCATACAGAGGAAACTGAAGCACAGCTCATAATGGACGAGCCATGATTCAGACCCAGGCCGCCTAGCTCCAGAGTCTATGAATTTTAAGAAAGGGCTGCTTCTCAGCATGAGGAGTCCCCACCCCAACCTTAGGAAACTAAACTCTGAACCAAAGCTGAGCCACATTAGGTCTCTCTATGGTGCCTGGTAAAGTCAGGGGCATGAGGGTACCATGGCTTGGGAGGCAAGCAAGTTGGACGAGGCTCCAATGAGCAGCCTGGGGCTCAGAACTATTGGGGCCAGGGAAGGGCTGGCTGCTTAGGAGAATGAGGTGGGGGGGGGGGTCCCACGATGGTTGCAAAATTATAGACTGAAATTGTCAGACAAAACTACAGGCAAGGTTGGGCCTCCCCGGTGGCGCAGCGGTTGAGCGCTGGGTTGCGAAGCTGCCTGCAGCCTCTGCAGCCGGTTCGATCCCCGGCTGCTCCCCGGCCACCAGAGGAGGGTCCCACATGGCGCGCAGACCTCTCCTGCCGCCCGCTGCTCCCCTCAGCAGTGTACTTGGGTCCTTCTGCCTGCTCTGCTCCCCGCTCTGGCTCTGGCGAATTCTCTCACCCTCCCACGCTTCTGACTGTACCCAGTGCATGTATCAAACAAACAAACAATAAATAAATAAATAAATAAATAAGACATGCCTCTAGAAAATTAAAAAAAAAAAAAAAAAAAAAGGCAATGAGGTGTGTCGCCACTCAGTGAAAAAAAAAAAAAAAATTTAAAAAAAAAAAAAAAAAAAAAAAAAACTACAGGCAAGGTCAAGGCCTTGCAGAGGGAGTGCTGTGTGGTGCATGGAGCTGTGTGTGTGGTGGGGTGTGGGTGGGTGTGAGGGCAGGTTGAGGTCATTAGGAGTGGGGGTCCTAGAACAAAGTGGGCACATTTGGTCTATGGCAGTGGATGACCCTGGTTTCCAAGAACCTCTAGGAGCCTGAAAGGATCTAATACAATATAATTGGGGAGAGTCCATAAGGGGTCTTTGGAATGTATTAGGCCCCAGATTTTATTTAACACAGGGTGAGTCCGCAAGGATAAGGGGAATCACACAGGATCATGATTCCATAGGGAAAGTAGTCAGTCCAGGAGGCTTCAAAGGGGACCAGTATTCCGGATGCATGGTGGCCCTATAGACCAGAATCTACAGGGCCTGGTTTCTAGGGGATGCTACTGATCTACAAGGAGCCGGGTCTCCACGCAGGGCCAGCAGGCATCCTGGGGACGGAAGAGGTCTGCAGGACCCTGTAATCTATATGGACCGTGGCAGATCTACATGAGTCCCAAATCCTACCTAGAAAGTGATCGCACAGGGGCCCAAAATCGCACAGGGGACAAGGCTGTGTGCACCGCCAGGGATGCTGGGGCGGGCGTGCAGAGTCAGGGTCTGACGCCGGCCGGGGGCCGCGTCCCTCACCTGCTCCAGATCGGAGAAGCCACCGCAGTCACCAGAACCAAGCCTCCGCGCGCCGGCTTCGGGCTCCCCCCCCCACTCCCCCGCCCCTGCCTCCGAGACTCTCTAGCCGCCACAGAGGCTACCTTTGCACCTAGCACTCCTTCCGCCGGCCGCTCTAGCCCGGCTCCTGCCCGGCGCCAGCACGGGAGACTCTACTGCTCTGGCCGGCCGCTCTAGCTTCCACGGCGCCACGCTGGCCCTCTCGGGCCTCTCTGGCCTGTCTCGGAGGTCTGGCGTTTCTGTGTCTCGACTGCCCCTGTCACTCTCTTGGACCCCGCCCCCTATTTCCCGCCCCCTGGCCGGAGGTAAGGCGGGTTCGGCCCGCCCCTGCAGCGCTCAAAGGCAGATTTCTGAGGCGCCCCCAAGCCCTCAGCACCCCGGCTTTAGCCCCCGAGCCTGGGCTCCCTCCCTCTTGCCTCCCTAACTGGGGGCCCAGTTAAATTCTCTACGCTCATACATCAATCCCCTCACCCCCAACCTCCATGGCTGTTCCACTGTGTCTGGAAAGCAAAACCCCTGGGTTGGGGCAGCCCTTCCTTCCCCTCGGACTTGCTGTGTAACCTGGGAAAAGTAATTGTCTCCGGGCCTCAGTCTTCCCATCTGTACAATGGGGGAAGTTCTCCAGCTCTGTCCCCCTATACTGCATCTCCCAGGGGCTAATGAAAGACCCAGAAAAAGAGCTCCCCCAAAATGTTTTCAAATGCGCTCCACAAATTTCAGCGTCACAGCGGCCTACTGGGTTGTAATTGTGTTTCTTTGCAGGTGGCCCTAAAGTATGCGGGGTTGGAGGACAGGCCGCTTAGCAGAGAGCACCTGCCGAGCTCAAATCCCAGCTCCGCTCGACCTCATGAGGTGTGTGCCCTGGGACGGGTCGGTTGGCAACACTCCCTGGGCCTCAGTTTTCCCACCCCTACAATGGGAGTGATCATCTGTCCTCCGCAGGATCGTGGGGAGGCCTTGTCTCTGGCCTCGCACCCCTCGTCCCCACCTACTGGGAACTGAGCGAGCATTAGTTGTCCTCTTTGCGCCCTTTGACAGACAGGGAAACTGAGGCCCGAGCAGCGGCGGCCGCTGGCTCCGTGGAACCCGGAGGAGGCCCCTCCACTGTGGGCAGCGCCCCAGGCCCCTCCCGTCGCCTCCCCGCTCCCCCCGGCGGCCGAGGGGAGGGAGGCCGGGCGGGGCCAGGGACAGTGTACCTGGTGTCCGCGCGGGGAGGTGACCGGCGGGGCGCCCGAGGTCGGGCTCGGCGATCCCCGGCCCGGAGTCCCGGCTCCCGCTTCCTGGCTCTGGCGGGGCAGGAAGTTGGGGCGTTTTTCCGGAGGCCCCCGCCCCGCCGCCCCTCCCCGCTTCCTGCCCGCGCCCCGAGCCCGCCCGGCACCTCCGCTTCCTTCCCCTTCTCGCCGCCAACCGGGCCCCTCCTTACCCCGCTCCGCCCGGGCCGCGGGCACCCGCCCCGTCGCGGTCCCGCCCGGTCCGCCCGACCTCTCCGGGCCTTGTCTGTCGGTCTGTCGGCAGGCGCAGGCTCCGCGTTCTCACCGCGGCCGGCTGCGCGCGCTCACCTCCCCGGCGGGCTGGGGTCACTGCCGCGCCGCGTCCGCCTCCGCGCGCACCAGCCCCCGCCGCCTGCGGTCTCTGCCTCTGGGGCCTCCCCTCCCCTCTCTGCTTCTGTCGCGCTCCACTTCCCCATCGGGGTCTAACCCGCCCGCTCCCCTTTGTCCCTCTTTCCTTCTGTCACTTTTTCCCTCCGTGGGTCTCCATCTTGCTGCATCTCCATCCCAGTCATTTCCCCAACTGCTGCTCCCCGGGAGCCTCAGGAGGCAGCCCGCCCAGGCCCTTCCCCATGGACCTGCTGTCCATCGCTTCCTGCTGTCTGTCTCTCTGTCCCTCTCAGAGGCCCTGTGGCCCCTCATGGTGGTAATCTTCATTTGCTGACTTTCCCGTGCGCTCCGTGACTCAGCCTCTTTCCCTGTTCTTAGCGACTCTATCTCTGCCTGTCTGTCAATGCGCCCTCCTTTCTGTGCCACCTCCCCTCCCAACCCCCTCACCGCCGAGTTAGGGCCACAGACTCTCCAACTTCCCCATCACAAGTTCACCCCCTCCCCCCACAGGTGTGGTCTGGCTGTGGCCTGGATACAGTACCAGCCCACCTGACAGTCCACTGTCACATAACACATAAATGTGTTTCCCTCACTTCCTCCTGTGCTCCCCACTCAGATGGACCGGGGTAGCCCTTCCCAAGACACTGCCTGTTTGTCTCTGGGCAGCCAAGACTGGCTCTATGGTCCCAGGTGTGTGGAGAGGGACTGGAGGTCCTGATTCCCCTGTCTGAGGGAGAGGGGTTACCCCCCCCCCCACTCCTGGGTCTGAGGGAGGAGGGAGGGCAATCCCATGAGATCTGTTACTCCGGCCAAGGTTTGCAGTTGGGAAGGATTTATTATCACTAAGTGGCCATGACAGAGCAGGGGGGAGGTGACACTAACGAGGCTGCTACAATCAGCTCCCCTAGAGGCAGCGATTAAGAGCTCATTACACATGGGGGTGAAGGGGCTGGAAAAAGCAGCAGGGGATGGACTGAGTTAGGGTGTGTGGAGGATAAGGACAGTCTAGAGGGAAGAACAACTTCCTCCAAGGGGGAAGTTGACTCAGGACCCTCCCAGGAAAGATTGTGAAAGCGCTTTCTGTCGCGGTGCAGGGAGACAGGCTCGGAGCACGGCAGGCGGGCTGCCCTCAGATCACGGCTTCTCCAGCTGGACATCTCCGATGTGGAGGCTGCCCACGTCCTGGTAGGTGCCCTGGAGGCCACGGGAGATGTCCTCGTACATGGAGCAGTCATCGAGGTTCAGGCCCTGGAATGGACAGGTGGTGCTGGGCCTCAGCGCCTGGAGGCCTGGGATACCTGTCCCTCGCCAGCCCATGGAGGAACCCCAGGAGATCTGCCCTCACCTGTCCCTCACCAGTGCCCCCTTTCCACTCACCTCATAAAGATTTTCATCCTCATAGTCGTCCCGGGTATCCACGTCAAACTTCAGGTTCTGCCATCGTTTCTGTCAGGGGAGAGGACACCTCAGTAAGGGGGTACAGGGGGATATGTTCAGACTCTCCTGGATGCCCAGGAGGTGCTTTGTCTGCGAGGGGGAGGCACATGTCCGAAGGCGTGAAGCTAGGTAGCTAGGCAGGGCAGTTGTCTCTGGTCCAGGCCAGGGCTCCCTGCCTCCCATTCTCCGTGATGACAGTACTAGTGACCCAAAGAGAAGCTAGTACAGCTCAGAGACTCTGGCAGGACACCAGCCCCCCTTCTCCCTGGCTTGAGGGTGGAGATGCCAAGGTGGGGAGGAGGGTGATTCACCCTGGGGCGGAAAGCAGGGACTAATCCTCTGGGCCCAGCATTACTTAATACCTTTCACCCTCACAGCCCCAGCGAGGTGGGTGGGTGCTGTCATTCTGGTTTTAGGTGGAGATGCTCAGGCCCTGAGGGCCGTGGCTCCCCAGGACAGCTCACCCTGAACAGCAGCAGCATCCCGGGCACCACAGCGCAGACCAGCAGGATGATCCCCTCCGCGGTGATGATGTTGTTCTTGGTGCCCTCTCCCATGTCCAGGAAGGGTTTGGGGGGTGGATCTGTGGGGAGGGGTGTGGCTAGAGCTCTGGCACCTCTGCCCTCCCTGCCTCCTGCCTGCCCACCCAACAGACTGCTGAAGCCCCTTACTCTGCAGGTGAGAGAAAGGGAGCCCCATGGGGCTGTGGCTCTGGGGCTGGCCCTGGCACTCACCACGCACTCGGAGGTAGGTGCCGCAGGAGCGCTTGGTCTGGTTCCCGTCCTCCACCTCGCAGTAGTACAAGCCCCAGTGGCTCTTGTTGACCTGATGGATGATCAGCTCCTCGCTGGTCTGGAATTCCAGACGCTTCGCTGGGTAGCTGTAGTTGCTTGGTAGGGCGAGCCACCAGGTGACTTTTGGGTGGCTGTTGGGTCTGCTGACCCTGTGCGGGCACTCGAGGCGGGCCTTCTCCCCCAATCTCACCGTCAGGGAGGGCAAGCCTGGGCCCACCCACAGGGCCTGGCCCCAGGGGCCTGTGGAGAGGTGGGTGCGTCAGGCTCTGGTCAGGGGGCACTGACCAGCCCTGGCCCCTTCAGCTACAGCGCTCCTGGGTGTGTGTGTGGGCAGAGGACTGAGGATGCTCAGGCAGGAAGGAGGATGCTCCTGAGGGCAGTGAGACACCATGGGGGGTGAGGACAGTGAAGATGCTCCTGGGGGAGGATAGACACCTCTGAGAGGAGAGAGAACACTCCTTGGGCTTGAGAGGGTGGTGAGGACATCCTGGGCGGGGGGGTGGGGGGGGAGTAAGACCCCCCTGTGGTGGTGCCATGCCCCTGGGCATCCCTGCTGGCCTCTGCAGCACTGTCTCTTGCCACCGTCTCACACTCACTGTGAACACTATGGAAATTTGGTTCCCTCGGGCAAGAAGTACCCCACACAGGCAGCTCCTTCCAGAATCATTTTGGGCATCACCTCATCCTGAAGGCTTCCGGGACCCCTTATCTGCCCCCAGCGCCAGCCGGCCCTGTACCGGGCACTTGATCTTGCAGGATCTTCACAAAACCCTTCAAGTAGGTTCTGTCATTATCCCCGTTTTGCAGGTGGGATGGCTGGGTCCCAGGGAGCGCCGGCTAGCTAGTTGGGGGGGGGGTTCAATCGGCGGCCCCTGGGGCCTCTTCCTGTCAGCTTTGGGCCTATCTTGCTCTGTGTCCTGGGCCTTCCTCTCCTTCTTTGTGAACTTCCAGATCTAAACTTGAGGGTCAGGGGGGAGTTGGTCCCTGGGTTAGATAGGGGGTTAGGAGAGGTTGGCTTCCCTCTGGGAAGCCCCAGCTCTCAGTAACCCAAGATCCTGCCCACAAAGCTGGCTCTGCTGCTTCTGGAGGGAGGAAGAAAAGGAGGAGGAAGGTGAAGAAGAGAGGGACAGAGAGGTGGGGAAAGGGAGTAACCTCAGGGTCTGGGGCTCCTGGTGTAACGTTGGGGAGAACCACCTCCCCAGAGCTCCTGATCAAACAAGCTGGTCACAGTCCCTCCAGCTGCACTGACAGGGAGTGTGGTGTCCATAAGGCTCCCCCTTTCCCAGGACGGAGAAGGGGCTCTGTGTGTGTGTGTGTTGGGGGGGTGACTTCGATCCAAGGCAGAGGAGAAAGCTTTTTCCCCTCTGAAGCAGGTGGTACCCCAAGTCCCCTTTCTTTCCCACCCGGCCGTGGAGTTCAGTCAAGGGCGACTTTAGTTCCTTATTTTGGCCGTGGGGGTGAGAGGGCGGCCTGCCTCCCTCCATGGGGCTGCGAATGTGCTTCAATTTTGCTGAGCCCCCCCATCCTCCCCTCACCATCTTGGGACAGTGAAGCAGATGGAAGCGCTTTCTACCGGGCCATTTTCTTCTGGCTCCTTTCCTGTCTCTCCAGCACCCTCCCCTCTGCCTGTACCCTCTCTGTCGTGTCCAGAGTTCCACCCCTTGCCCCCTTAGCCACATACCCAGGCCAGCAGCTGAGATCCAGAAGAGGAGGAAGATGGCGGCAGGAGGGGCTTGGAGGACTCTGGGACCCCCCAGCATCTTCTCCCAGTGGGTTGGTTGGTCTGGGTAGCAGCTGATCTGGGGTACCAGAACCCACCTCAGCCTGGCCCCAAACCCCGCCCCACTTCCTGCTTGGCCCTGGCGGAGACGGGCTCCACTGGCTACCTGCTAGGCCCTGGCTGCCAGGCTGGGGCAGTCCCTGCCTTCTGCTTCAGGCCCTGCGTGGAGAGAAACCGCTTCTGCACCTGTGGAGGCCACAATTCCCCTGAGAGGAGGCGGCTGGAGTAGGGTAGGGCTCAAGGCCTGGCTCCTCGCGGTCAGCCCTGGCAAAGGAGCCTGAGGGAGCCAGAGTTTGGGGTGCCGCACACTGGCCATTTGGTGGTGTCTGCCCCTCACTGGCCTTGCTCCCTTTCAGGGCCATGGTGTCCTCACCTCGAGTGGTTGACATTGAGGATTTAGGGGGGCTGTGTTTCAGCAGCACAGAATGCTGGGCCTGTCATATCATAGGTGTTCAGAGATCTGGGCAACTAGTAACGCGCATGAGGAATGAGTGAGGCAGGCCCCCCAGCTGCGACAGGCTGTGCTTCCCTCCAGGGCCTCCCGGAGACCAGGAGAAAACATCTCTGTGGGGCTGGAAACTGACATCCCAGGCAGCCAAGGAGTTAGGGCCCCAAGGGGCTTTTTGGGTTCTTTCTTTTCAGTCTCTGTAAAACTCCAGCTGGCCTTCAGGGAGGCCACCCCCATTTTACAGAGGAGGAAGCTGAGGTTCCAAGAGGCCACGGCATCACTTGCCAGGGGCAGTACAGCTGGGGAGTCACAGTCACTAGTGTGAGCTCAGGGTCCTCGGGCATCAAATGAAGGGAAATGAGGGTCAGGGTGGGAACTGACTTGAGGCTGTTAAGATGTCTGTGAGCACCCACCCCCCAATGTGTGCACCTGCCCCCTATGTGTGCACAGAGGAAGGAGAAAGGCGGAGCTCAGGCACAAAACGAAAGAGAAAAAAACATGTAGCAGGATACAGTTGACTTGTTTGCAAAAAGCAAAACAGCAGCGAGCTGCTAGGAACAGGTGCATCTGTGACCAAGGTGGAAACCCAGGCCATGCAGTGACCCCCAGTTCCTGAGAGGGATCACCTCCTGGGGCGTCAAGGGGGAACGTCCAGAGATTTTGTCCCTCCTAGTTTTCCTCCTGAAGTGGACAGCCGGTTTGTGGGTCTTTGTCACATTTCTGTGTATACCATTTTGCATGCTTGAAGAATTTCATAATTTTACCCTCAAGTTCAAGATGCAAGGTTTTTTTTTTTTCTTAAAGATTTATTTATTTATACATACAAAAGCTGGGGTACAGGCCAGAGATGCGGGGGTGGGGGTGAGAGGATTCATCAGAGACAGAGCAGAGAACAGAACAGGCAGACTGACTGAAATACACTGCTGAGGGGAGCAGCGGATGAGACAGGAGAGGTCTGCTGCACTATGTGAGATTCTCTCTGGCCGGCCAGGGATTGAACTCGTGCTGCAGAGGTTGTGGATAGCTTCATAGTGCGGTGCTTAACCCCTTGCGCCACCGGGGAGGCCCATGCAAGGTTTTTTTTTAAAATTAAAATTCTTATTTTATTTTTCTTTATTCGGGTAACACTGGTTTATAACACTGTAGAAGATTTGGGGGAATAAGGCCTCCCTGGTGGTGCAGGGGTTAAAGTCTCAGCGCTTTCAAGCTATAGGCAGCTACTGCAGCATGAGTTCAATCCCCAGCCAGGGAGCTGACCCACATGGCGCAGCAGACCTCTCCTGTCTTGCTGGCTACTCCCCTCAGCTACACTGCTGTAGATCTGCCTGTTCTGCTCCCCACTGTGTCTGGTGTATTCTCTCACCCCCTGCACTTATGGCCTATGCCCCAGTTCTTGTATGCATAAATAGATAAAAACAAAATATTTTTTAAAAAATTTTTAAAGATTTATTTATTTTTATTATTTATTTTAAAAAAGATTTATTTATTTATTTTATACAAGAACCAGGGTACAAGCCAGAGGCGCGGGAGGGTGAGAGGATTCACCAGAGACAGAGCCGGGAACAGAACAGGCAGACTGATGAAATACACTGCTGAGGGGAGCAGCGTGCGTGACGGGTGAGGTCTGCCACGCCATTTGGGAATCTCCCTGGCCGGCCAGGAATCAAACCTGTGCTGCAGAGGCTGCGGAGAGCTTCACAGCACTGCGCTAGACCCTCTGCGCCACCTGGGAGGCCCAATAAAATAAAATCTTAAAAAAAAAGAAAAAAGATTTAGGGAAATAGGTTTACACCACCTGAGATGTATGTTTCCACACCACCCCCACCATCAAAGCCCCCTTCCATTTACCAATCAAGATCCCTGTCCCCAAGATTTGAGTTTTATTTATTTTTTTAAAGATTTATTTGTTTATGCATACAATAACTGGGGTGTAGGCCAGAGGTGTGAGAGCATTCACCAGAGACTGAGTGGGAAGTAGAACAGGCAGACTGACTCAAATACACTGTTGAGGGGAGCCGCGGGTGGTGAGGCCGGAGAGGTCTGTTGCACCATGTGAGTCAGCTCCTTGCCAGGGATCGAACTTGTGGTGGGGAGTCTGCCAATAGTTTCATAATGCTGAGCTTTAACCCCTTGCGCCACCAGGAAGGCCCAAGATTTGTTTTAAATCTCTCTTCTGCGGCTGACTGGTCGTCTGAGTCTCCTGTAACCTGGGCACCACCTCCCCACCTTAAGAGGCTGTCAGGATATTACACAGCTCGCTCACTAGTTTCTCTTCTCTGGGTGCGGGGCCCTTCCCCTTCCCTCCAGGGACCCAGGTGCTCTGTTGGGCCCCTCTCTGCATAGCAGGGACCTCTCTGAGCTTCGGCCTCCCCTTTGCATTAGTCCCTAGTGCTTCAGTCTCCCCTTCTGACTCCTTTCAGAATCTGCCTGGATCCTGACGCTGGAGTCCGCCTTGGGCCGCGTTCAGCGGCCGATCCATTTCCAGGCCCTCCACTGCCCCCCAGTGGCCGGAGGCGCGGCGGTCGGATTACAGGCCTCGGGCTGGGCAGTCTGGGCATCCCTGTCTGCGTAGTGCCCGAGTACTAGATGCATGGCATTGTGTTCTCACGAGAACTTTGGGAAATGGCATCATTGTCAGCCAGCAAAAGAGGTGAGCCCAGAACGGGGAGGTGCTGCTCCCCGGCCTTGCTCAGTTTGTGCCTCCTTTTCCCTGCCGAGAGGCGGTGCGCTGTGGGGCGGGAGGGTGAGGGGGTGCGGGGGCGGGTGGGTGGCGGGGGAGCCGGAGTCAGGTTGCCTGGTTCACCAGCGGGCTCTGCCACTGCCTCGCTGTGGGACGTCGGGCACATCACTCAGCCTGGGACTGGCTCTTCCCAGCTCCAAACTGCAGCTGTTTCTGGGCACCTACTTCGTAGGGTTGCCCAGTGTATTAGATGATTGATTTGTAACGCGCCTGCGCGTGGTAGGACCTGCATGTTTATTCAGTACAAATCTTCCAGCACTGACAGCTTCATACACCCCGGGGGGAGGACTTTCGGTTTAATCCTCTTTCATTTGGAACATCTGGGTAGCACCAGCTGCTCTTCTGCCGGGCGTGCTCTGGGCCAGGGCGCTCTCTGCCTGCTATCTCCCCGACTCCCTCTTGAGTCAGTGGCTTTGACAGTCTGGAGCGGAAGCCTAAGAAAGTTGCTCAGGGCCGCAGAGAATTAAGGGTTGGGATTTACACCCACATCTTTTGGGGAGTGGGTCCTAGCTGAGGAATTCCTTGGGCTGATGGAACGCCTGGATCGAGCCAACCGATTCATCAGCACCCTAAGTTTTCCCCAATTGGGAGGTGGTCACTACTGGCGGTGAGAGCGCCCTCTCCAGGCCTGTCACGAGCCCACCGGGTGCCCTTCGGATCCGCCGCCCTGACCAAGGGGTCCAATCACCGGCGGAGAACCAGCCCCTTTCGCGCCGAGCCAACCGCAGTGCGGGGCCGTGGAGGCGGCCCCGCCTTGCAGCCGCGGCTCCGCGCAGGCGCCCGCTCGCCCTTTCCTTGAGAGCACTAATGCAGCCGGGGGCTCCCTAGCACCCCACGACCCAGGACGTTTATGTTAGCTTCACTTCACAGCAGGGCCCAAGGCCAGAGATCCCAAAAGGGAAGGCTCAGAGTGAACAACTCGGCCCTGGCAGTCAGAGAGGAGGTGCACACAGGGCAGGCGCGGGCCCTCAGGGCCTTCAGTCCCTGCCCAGCGTTCAGGGGAAAAAGCTGCTGAGCCTGCGCCCCTCCAGCTTTGCTCTGGCAGGGGCCTTGGAGCCACCTCTGCAGCCAGGCCTCAGCTTTCTCATTTTCTGAGAATGCAAAGGCAGGAACAGCCTGGGGAAGGGGACATCCTGCTTGTTTAGGGGGAAGCTGTCTCATCTAGGGGGGCTGGGCTCCAGCTTTTGGAGGCTGTTGTTAGGTACCACAGGCTCGCAAGGACCCCAAGCCAGTTTCACAAGGGAAGGAAGAGGAGCAGGCAATCAAGAGACCAGACCAGGATTACGAATGAGGCAATTTATTAACCCAGCATCGTTTGTTCGTTCTAATGCTTCTTGTTGGCAGCTGCCACCTGTGGGAAATGGGAGACAAATGATCAGCAGCGGGGTCTGGCTTGGGGACCTTTGGACCCACTACCCACAGGATGCCAGCTACCTGGATTTGTGCTTTCACACACCTCCCCTCCTTCCTGCAAACCTGGGGTATTGCCCAAGTCACAGCAGTGGACGAAGGGGCTCAAGGAGAGGGAGTGGTGAATGGGATTCCAGTGTCTTCCCACTGCTGCCTGGGCCTGGTGTCCCCCTCCAGGGGACAGACACCTTCCATTCTTTTCTGACACTTGACTAAGTGACTAAGCACTGTCAAGGCTACTAGAAGGCCTGACTCAATGACACAGAAAGAAAACCAACAAGGGTTATGCCCTGGGGCCCTCCTGCGGCAGCTCAGAGAACCAGAGAATCCTCACCTCAGGCATGCAGCCAAGAGCTTATCACCCTACAGACAAGAGACAGCTCTAGGCCTGGGTTCTGAGCCAGCCCGCCTCTCCATCCATGCTCAGCAAGCACAGAGGAGGAACACACAGTATGCAGAAGGCTGACCTGGGAAGACGGGGTGGGAACATGCCCTGGCAGTGTGAGAAGCAAGCCCATTTGTGCCAGTGTTTCTAACTGGTTCCAGCAGGAAGTCAGGAATGTTTTCTCCTACCCCCTCCCCCACCAGAGCCCCGGCGTGCCCTCACCTGTCCGGCGATTCTGTCCAGATCTCTCTGTCCCTGAGGTGTCAGTTTGCGGCCCCTGTGGGAGAAGGGTCATGAGGCCCAAGCGCAGGCTCAGCCCCACTCCTGCCAGCACTTTCCAGGTGAGAGCCTTGGAGAACCAGCTTCCCAAGGCAGCACCTGGCCGCGGACCACAGCCAAGCCCCACCACAGCCCAGCTGGCTGCATTCTAATGAGATGGGGGCAGGGGTGGGAGCCTCCCCCCCACCCCCGGGAGCTGATGGGGTGTCGTTTGTGCAAGCATTAGATCAAAAGCCCCGAAAAATCAATTGGGAAAAGTTAACGAGCAGGCTAATGAAAGCGGACAGTCTCTAAATTACCTTCCTGGAGCTCGGGGTAGCCAGCCAGAGAGGTCGGGGCCAGGCCCTGCGCTGTTGCCTGAGGGGCAGGAGACTGCAGGGTGGACTGGGCACTGTGCACAGGGGTGTGGGTGGGGTGGCCTCGACAGCCTCATTACTGGCCATCTGGCCTCAAGGTCCCCCCTTGCTTACCCATCTTGGTCCTTTTCCACCATTTTCAGCCCCTCCAGGGCTTGGAGGACTCGACGGGCCACACTCTTGGAGCCTCTGCTGAAGTGGCTGGGCATGACGCCATTCCGCTGACGCCCCCCATAGATCTTGGTCATGGAGCCGACCCCAGCACCGCCCCGGAGGTACAGGTGCCGCGCTGTGGAAGCTGGGGGGAGTGCAAGGGGACTTGAGGACCTTCTCAGACAAAGAGGCCTCTTCACAGCTGAGGCAGGCTGGGGGAAGGGCTGTGCTCAAGGGTACACACCCACAACCTGTGTGTGGCAGCAGAAGCTCACCAGTCACGATTTTATAGCCAGGTTTCTGGGAACACATGAGACCCAGTGCCTGACCCCACCCTCAAGGGCCATTACTGCCCCACCTGTCCATCAGGCTGGACCTGAGGGAGAGTGGATGGCCCCCTCTGTGGACCAGCCTCCTTAGAGGTGCTCACTCCTGTTGTCCTGGATCATGTAGGCAGGCCCCATGACACCTGCTGTTCCTTTCCTCCTATGAAGCAGCAGGGCAGCTGCCCTCATTTAAGGAATCGCCCCTTGGGAAAGGATCACTGTGAAGACCCCATGGGAGCGTGTCCAGTGCTAGCCTTCTCAGGACACAGGTGGCAGGACCCTTGCTAGCAGCATGTCACAAGGCCTGCAGGGCCAGCCCCTCCAGACTGTCTAGAGCTCAGGGGCCTCTGTGGCGCCACGGAATTGCAGGCGAGGCAGAGAATTCTGTATGTCATTCTGGGACTCCCAGACCAGCATGTTGGGTTTTGCTCAAGTGACTACTCCCCTTGGTGCTGAAGGGGGAATTGGGACTCACTCCAATGCCTGCTCAGCGAGCAAGGAGCATGCCAGGCTGCGCCCATGACCTTCTGGTGCTGGGTGGCCCCCGCCAGGGCAGTTCTTCCAAACTGTCCCTGACCACTCCTGCCCTCCAAAAATGCCCAGCAGCTCCCGCTATCCTTCCCATGCCTCTCCCTGCCATGCCCCCACTCTGTCAGCATGCAGTCAGCCCCAGAGAGCTCTGCATGGAAGGTGCAAGCCAACCCTGAGTGGAGGGGCCAGCTGCGTGTTCCCCTCCCTGTCAAGCACTAAAGAGACAGCTTAAGTCCTCAGCAGCGACAAACCCCCAACTCTTAAGTTTATTCAGGTGGTGGGGATGGGTTAATCTTTTCCTGACTCTGTAGTAGCTGGTGTGCTATCAGACATTACAAGGCCCTCCCCACCACCTCACTCTGTGCTAATTATTTTCCTGACCCATTAAGAAGGTGAAGTATTAACTTCATAAATTGGAAATTCTAACTTTCCCACCTCCATCTCCTCAGCCCTTGACACAAATCAAGATCACCCTTGCTGTCTGGGGGCCACAGCGAACCCTGTGCTGCCACTAATGGCCTGGGCCTGTCCTTCAGTTCCTGCAAAGGAGTCTGCTCCCCTCTTACACTCTTGGGTGGCAACCTGTTCCTCAAGAAACCCCGTAGGGGCCTCCCTGGTGGTGCAGTGGGTTGAGCGCAGTGCTATGAGGCTGTCTGCAGTCTCTGCAACGCAGGTTCAAGTCCCAGCCAGCCAGGGAGAAACCCACATGGCGCAGCAGACCTCTCCTGTCGTGCCCACTGCTCCCCTCAGCAGTGTTTCGGTCTGTCTGCCTGTTTTGCTCCCTGCTCTGTCTCTGGTGAATCCTCTCACCCTCCCGTGTCTCTGGCCTGTGCCCCAGTTCTTGTATAAAAATAAACAGAAGTGGCAGAGCAGGGGCTGAAAGGTCCACGCAGGAAGCCGGAATGCAAAAGCCTACCCGAAAGCCCACCTGGGGGGCAGGAATGTGAATACCTGCCTGGAGGACTCAGACAAAGAACCTCTACCTGCCCTACAAACTTTTCCCGCCGTTCGAGCCCAACTACCCACCTGACCTCTCCTCACCCTATAAAACCCTGCTTCCCCCTAACAACGTGCGCGACTCCACTGACCCCCGCCTTGGGTCTGTGAGGTCCGCCTGGGGCGCAATAAACTTTCCCTCCCTTTGAGAAATGTAGCCTGGCTCTCCTCTCCTTTACCACGCCCAACCTTTCAGGGGCCACCGTAAAAAAGAAGAAAAAAAAACCTTGTAGGAGTCACTCTCCACCTCAAACTGTGGAAGGGCCCCATGGTGCCCCACCCACTCACCTTCAGGGAGAGCAGACATGTGTCCCACGTCAGGGGAGGGTCACATGGCACCTGAACAGGCCGTCTTCCCAGCACAGCACCTCACACCTGGTTCTAATTTTGGTCCAAACTATGGATAGCCAGTCCTGACCCACTGAATCAGTAAGCAGTGGAAGGAACCCTCCTTGATGGATTTGCCCTTGATCTTTCTTTGCCAAACTTTTTTAAAAAAAGATTTATTTATTTATGCACACAAGAACTAGGGTACAGGCCAGAAGTGTGGGAGGTGAGAGGATTCACCAGAGACAGAGTGGGGAACAGAACTGGCGGAATGACTGAAATACACTGCAGAGGGGAGCAGCGGGCGAGTCAGGAGAGGTCTGCTGCGCCATGTGAATAGCTCCCTGCCTGGGGATCGAACTCATGCTGCAGTGGCTGTGGATAGCTTCAAAGGTTGTCTCAACCCCTGCGCCACCAGGGAGGCCCTCTGCCTAACTTAAAAAAAAAAAAAAAAAAAAAAAAAAAAGAACCACTTCTCTGACTTCAATTCACCTTTAACATGCTCTGGCAGTGCCCCCACCCTTCATTCCTTTTGTTAACACAGCACAAGCCGGTACCCCGCCTGGCGCAGGGGTCAGAGGCAAACCAGCTCCATCTTGCAATAAAATGCACTCAGCTGTTCTGTTTCAGCAGCGGCTCGTGGTCAGCCACCTAACAGGACACACTGAATTCCCACCTCCCTCCCAAGGGCTTCTGGGCATCACAAAGCCAAGAGGCTTGTGCAGGGCTATACTGCCTCTGCCCTCCACAACTCCTTTCTAGTTCTGGCGCACTCCTTACCTACTCTAGACAACTGGTCCCTCTTCTAGATCACCCTCCAGCAGGGCCCTAGCCTCTGTACCACACCCAATCTGAGAGCAGGATCTACCCACTCCACACTGGAGACTGTCCCCTCCCCCAAACTGGCCCTCCGATCCAGGAAACTTTACCCTAAAACCATGAGGAGGCAAAAGAGGCCAAGCCTCCAGTAAGGGGGAAAATGTAAACAGGGTAGACCTGGCTTTGGAGCCAGCCTGCCATGCCCTTCCAGGGCCATTTCACCCACCTGTGCCTTAAGTTTCCTCTTTAGCAAACGCCTAAGCCTGCAAAACTTGCCCAGAACATAACCAGAACACCAAACTAAGTGGGTGCACTCTAGACTTTAAGAGGCCGGCAGATTTTCAGGGAAATAGGTAAGTCATCGAGGCTCCACCACCCTCATGCCACTAGGGCAGGCAGAAATTGGTCGCAGCACCCCACTGAGGTCTCACCCAGGGTATTTGTGCCATTCCCTGTGAATCTTTCTCCAACTCAAAAAATAAAATCTGAGTGCTATCCAGGAAGACAGCCAGCACCCCTTCAAGTGGTGAGTGGGGTGGACTGTGGCTTCGCAGCCCACAGAGCCCTAGCACCTTAGCCTCCCTGGATCAACAGAAAACAGCCATCTGTTGGGCAGGGTTTCGGTGGGGGAGGGATGTAACTCATTATGTATATTCACCTGACCAAATGGAAAAAGCTACCAGATTCTTTCTCCTAAACTTCGACCCAGAGGTGCCCTGATCTACCAACTTTTGAGGCACTGTCAAAGAACATTCAGAAGCAGGCAGTCTTGCTTCCCAAGGTGGGCAGAGGGGGTGCTGGTCTCATCAATGTGTGTCCAGGGAGGGAGATCAAATCTTTGTCCTGTCACCTGCCCCATTTTCTTTCTGAATGCACCCAGGTGCGTGGGTGGGTGGCTATACTGCCCACCCCAGAGTTGTTTTGTTGGTACCCGGGGGGTCAGAAAGTGGAGAGCATGGACATTTGATGTGTCCTCCCCACCCACCCACAACACCACCTCATAGTTTCAAGTGCTGGGCAACTCGTGCCAAGGCCAACTCCTCTCAACCTCATTCTGGAATTGTCAGTTTCTGAATAGTGCTTGCCACATCCTCTACTGGAAACAAGCTTCAGCAAGGATAGGGTCCCACTTTGGAGGAAGACTTAAAATTAGAGGCTGAAGGGCCTTCGAGGTCTTTGCAGAGGCTGTCACCCCGCAAAACCAATGTCAGGGACAGGTGAAAACTAGCCCTGCACAGTGTGAGGCTACACTGTCAATGTTTCTGAGTTATCACTATAAGACACGGGGCTGGCAAGCAGTCACTGGAAGACTTAAGATTTTCTTCTGGACTCTTGCTGGGGCTTGTCAGGTTATAGAGCAAGGAGTGACCTGGCCACATCTCCCACTACTCAGCTCGAACTTGCTAGCGTCAGAGAAGGGGACCCTGATGATCTGAGCAGGACACAGCTGACTTTTCTCGAATGATTACTTCAGAGCAAGTGTGTTTTAGAAGCATCTGAGTGGACTGAGCTCATTTGTTCTTCACCATAACTCCGAATTTACAAATGAGAAAGCAAGTGGCACAGGCCAATGGAGGCACACGGTTAAGAGACAGCAAACTCAGTACCTAAGTCCATGAATGTACAAAGGATGTCTCTAAAAACAAACCACCTCTAAGCAAAATATAAACACTCATCTGTTCCTGAGTTTCTCTTGCAACTCAGGAGAAGCTGCAGGTCCTCATGCAAACCTCTTACTGATTAAGAAACAGATTCAGAACATGAAGCTACTGACTACAACGCAAAGCCTGCAGTAGTAAAGATCTTCTCTTGGCTTGCAAACCTGGGGGTAAGGAGACATGGTCCTCACCAGGGGGTCCCCAGCTCCCCACCTTCCAGGTGAAGACCCCAGTTCCTCACCAGCTCTCGTGTAGAACCAGTTCTCATCGTAGGGTGCGAGCTCTTTATGCTTGGCCAGCTTGACAGTGTCCACCCATTCAGGGACTTTCAGCTTCCCGGACCTGGACCAAGACAGCGGGGAAAGGCACAATTCGGAAATCTCCAACTTTTTCATGCCCAGCCCCCCAGAATACAGAGAGGCTCCCACACAACGCACGACTTGCATATAAAGACAGGCCCACACAGGGACCTCAGATGAGTCCCCTGGCCAGAGAAGACCAGCACGGCAAATCCCGCGGGGCCAGCAAGCCCCGGCCCCACACTCACTTTTTGAGGAAGGCTGCCAGAGCTCTGACGAACTCCTGCTGGTTCACGTCTTTTACAGTAACTCCAGGCATCTGCGAGGAAGATCGGGCACGTGAACACAGGGCTGGTGGGGACGACTGACAGGGCCGCGGCCCAGCCCGGCGCCGCCGAGACCGCCGCACCCCGGTACTTCCGCAGGGCCCTTCTCCGGTCCTGCGCCCTAGGGCCCCGGCGCCAGAGGGTCCCAGAGTCCCCGCCGGCCCCGATCTCTACGGGCAGCACGAAGGCAGCCTGATCCCACCTGCGGAGACGCTCGGCGCCCCCAGCCCCCGGCCCTGCCCCCCAGGCACCGCCCTCGCCGCTGCCCACCAGGCCGAGTCTCGGTTCCCGGACCGCGCCGACCGGACATGCCCGGGCCTGCCGCTCGCACGTGGCCGCAGTTTCAGGGGGCGGGGCGGCCTCTCGTGGCCTCCCCGGGCCCCGGATCACGCGCCCCGAGCTGGGGACACGGCTCCAGACACGCCGCACTCAGCCCGCATCGGAGCGCCGGTCTTACCGTGCGGCCTCCGCGCTGCCAGCCAGGGGAAAGGGAGCAACGGGGTTTCCCGGGCGCACAAGTCGGGCGTCGAGCCTCGCGAGAGTTACGAGAGCTCGCGAGAGCAGACTTAGAGACGGCAACTCCGCCCCTCTCAGGGCGAGTGAGGCTTCACTTCCGCCGAGCCGGGCCGTGTGCAGTGAGGGGCTGGACGGCAAAGCGTTAAGTCACGGGGTGCGGGGAGGCCGGTTTCTTCCCCGACCGTCTTTTCCCGGAGAGTGGCAGAGGGGACAGAGCTCTGGTCTTGGGCTGGGGGGGCGGTATGGCCTCGTTTCCGTCCGTCGTGGTTAGGAGGATGAGCGGCGGCGGAGAGCGATGGTGGAAGTTATGGGGAAGGAGGGTGGGCAGGAAAGAGGTTTGGCCACGGTTGGAGCCCTCAGCAGGGCGAGCCCCTTTCACGGTGGAAGTGGCTTTTCTGGCCGGAAGTGGGGGCAGTAAGGGCGGAACTGTGACGGAGAAGCCAGGTGACGTGCAAAGAAGAAATATGGCCACTACTTCCCTTGGCCGACGGTACCCGGGAGCGCGGGAGGCGGAAGACCCACCCTTCTTAGGGCGGAAGTTGCTTCACCAGCACTTAGGCGACCGGAGTGGGCGTCAGGCACTGGAGGCGGGGAGGAGCTAAGGGCAGGGACAAAGAGGCGGGGGCGGGGCCCGCGAAGCAGTCAGCTGGGCTCTGCCTTCTAGTGTCTGAATAGGCTCGTTGGGCCATCAGATGTAGCCTGCCTGCGTAAATCTGCCCACCCCACTGACCTGTGCAGCTGTAAACACACCACTTGCCCTCCCAAGGCTTAGTCTCTCCATTAAAAAAGGAAAAAAAATTAAACGGAGACACATTCTGACAATTTTCCCCTTTTAAGTGATTGTCCCTGTACATGGTGCATCACATATTCCAGCAACCATTATTTCTTTGTGTGCCTAGTTTGTGCCAGGCATAGATAAGCATTACGTGGTTTTACATGCATGAGCTAGTTTAATCTTTATAAGGCTCATCAGCCAAGAACACGAGGGACACACCTATGGTCTTATAAAACTGTTAACGTGCTGCAAAAAGAAATGTTTAGACATGTGTGGCTGTTTTCTTAGCGGAAAAGACTTGGAGAGTTTAAAACAGGATGAATATTTTTTTTTTTCCAGTGTGAAATACGATGTCTGCAGAATGCCTTATTAAAAAAATGCCAACTGGGGCCTCCCCTGGTGGCGCAGTGGTTGAGCGCTGGGCTGCGAGGCTGCCCGCAGCCTCTGCAGCGCCAGTTCGCTCCTGGGCCACTGGCGAGGGTCCCCCCTCCCTTATTCCCCCCCCCCAAATAGCCACCTGTCTTAGTTTGGGCTGCTGTAACGAAATACCATAGACTGGGTGGCTTTCTAACAACCGAAATTTAATTGTCATAATTTTGGCGGTTGGGAAGTCCAAAATCAAGGTACCAGCGGAATGTGTGGAGAGAGCCCTCTTCCTAGGTACCTAGACGGCCATCTTTATGCGTAGTCCTCACATAGCCACAAGGGGGCGAGAGAGCTCTTCGGTGAATCTTTGTAAGGGCACTTTACCATTTCCGAGGACTCCAACCTCATGGACCTAATCACCTCTCAAAGGCATCACCTCCAGATACCACCATATTGGGGATTAGGTTTGAACAGATGAATTTTTTGGGGCACACAAACTATACATGCCATTATACCTTTGTCCAAATTCATAGAACGTATAGTAATAAGAGTGAACCCTTGTGTAAACTATGGACTCTGGGTGACGATGTGTTCATCAGTGGTAACTTGATGGTTAGGGGAAGCCCTAACGTTTTGAAAGGCAAAGGACGACTAAGCCAGTGGTGCAAAAACCCTAACAACTCTGGCAAGAAGGGGTGGTGGGCTGCAGAGGCATGAGAAAGGCTTGTAAAGAGGGCCCTGCCCCTAGCTCCTCCCCGTCTCCATCACTTTATTTTTTTCCACCCATTTCATTTCTCATGTCATCCTGTAAACCCGTTACACTTTCTCTTTTAATTTTCCCACCTGTGTGACCTTGGTGTATTTACTGGTAACCTTTGGTGATCCCTGAGTAGCATGGTGTTAGCCATGTTACGTGTTGCAATCCTTCCCTCCTGGGTGACTATGTGGACTTGATCATCTGTCCAGGGAAAGCACCACAGAGTGAGGCTTATGCATTCTATTAAATGCTGGTCATAGGGGCTCCCTGGTGTCCCAAGGGGTTAAGCACAGCACTCTGAAGCAATCTGCAGCCTCTGCAGCACAAGTTCGATTCCCGGCAGGCCAGGGAGCTACCTACATGATGCAAGACCTCTCCTGTCTTGCCCGCTGCTCCCCTCAGCAGTGTATTTCAGTCAATCTGCCTGTTCTGCTCCCCACTCTGTCTGGTGAATCCTCTCACCCCCCGCACCTCTGGCTTGTACCCCAGTTCTTGTATGCATAAATAAATCTTTTTAAAAAATGCTGGTCATATATCTAAGTTATAACAAAGGGAAGGAAGGGAGGTATGAAGCTGACCTCCATCCTTTGATGATCTTGTAGGAGTCCTGAGAAGTGGTGTAGATGTGCTACTCTGTAATCCTTTAGAGAACAGAAGCATCCTCCTCAAGGACCCAGAAGGAAAGAACAAATTGTACTTGGGTGTTATCGCCATTAATCCTCTTGAATAAAAAGAGGTGTGTAGATAACATCAGAAAAAGAATCAGTCATCAGGCATGTGCCTGGAGCTTTCTGGCTGCCCCTTCTGAAGGTGGGGGTGGGGATGGGCACTCCAGGTCTTCATGTCTTTGGAAAAGCTCTTCACAAGTTTGAAACAACATAAGGAGAACGCAATAGCAGGGGACTAAGAAACAAAGGCAGGTAAGGTCTTATTATTACTTAGTGATATCTTGAGCAGAAAAAGACATTTTGAAAAACCCTGGACTCATGTTTGTCTCCTGGGGTCCTGAATTTTTTTATGTTTCATGAAAATTACCTACTAATTGATTTGCGCCTGGCAAGGAGAGGAAACGTCTTCCAATATTTGCCCAGCAATTTTCCATAAAATACATGGGAAAGTCACTTAATCTCTAAGCTTGTTCCTTTATTTGCAAATGGGAGTAATCCCACATAGCTGGTAGAGCTGCTGTGAATTATATATAGTGGGTGCTCAAAGAGTGGTGATAATTATCTCTAACCTTTTATAGGTCCTTCAAAACTTGTATGAGTAGTTCAGGAAAAACCCTTAATAAAGACTAACTTGATTCTTTCTGTCCTGACTGGCCTTAGTTTCTCCACTTGAAAAATGTTATGTTAGATTAGCATTAAAGTGGCATTCTATTGGCCAAAGCCAGCCTGAAGATAAGTTTTATTTGAGTCCCAGAGGATTTAAACAAGAAAAATTAATCAACATTTTAACATTTCTTTGGAAAAATCAGAAGATGTGGCAATACCAACCCCACACTCCTGCTTGGCAACAATCTGCTAGGGCCCAAAGAGCCTGCCCCCTTCAGCAGGGCCTGCTTTCCCAGTTTTCTAGGCTTGCCTGGCTTTCTTTACTCATTTATTTGATCTGCTTGGCCCTGTAGACATTTCAGCTTGTGGCCCTCTAGACAGCTGGAACTGTTTGCCACTCTCTTACTTGGCCATAAGCAGATCCACATTTGTATTCATTTGTGGAAGGTACTGAATAACTGATTTTCACTTTGAGAAGTGAAATAAAAGTGTTTTCTGTCAGTCAGGAAATACTAGGCTGTGGTAACAAACAATCTCCAAATCACAATAGCTTAAAACAAAGGTTTATTTCTTGCTCATTCACACAAACCCAGACATAAAATGAAAATACTCTCCTCTGTTTGCACATGCATGGAGGCAGACATGAGCGCACAGGTATGTACAGAATAACATGTCAAACAAATACCCTGGAACATGAATTCATGCAACAATCTATTCAGGTACTAGTTGGCTTAAACTGCACAACTCTCTCTCAGGAATTTTGTAAGATCCCAGGATCCAAAGAGGGTAAGAGAATATTCATCTTCTGCCAAGGAAAGGCTCGTGTTACAAAAGGAACCAAGAGATGAGAGCTTAAAGAAAGCCTGATGCTTATACTGGGTTAAATTCCATGCATAAATACATAAATAAAACACAAAGATGCAGCGCCTGCAGGCTGCTGCCCCCTCCACCCCGTCTGGGCTTTTAGGTTAGGAGGGAGATGGATCCCAGCCGCCCAAGATGCAGAGCCACAGAGGGGCCTGGTTTGGGTCGCAGAGCAGGACCAACAGGCTGGAATCCTCTTCCTCCAGGGGGAGCTACAGGCAGGAAGGAAGGGGCACAACCAGGTCACCACCACTGCCCTTCCCAGCAACCCTCACTTTCTACCCCATTCAATCCAGGTCTCCTGGATAATAGCAAACACTTCCTCCTCACTGGTTTTCCTAGCCGTGGTCTTGCCTCTTCCAGTCCCACTATCGTAGCCACGACTATCTTTTCAAAGCTCCAACTTGTCTTTCTAAAGTTCAGGTCTATGAATATATCTCTGTCTCATTCAGACACATTTCCTGGCTCCTAAAAGAAGTCTTTCCAGTTTGATCTCCTTCTGCTCCAGAAGTTTCTCAGGTCTGTTTCCTCAACCATACACCTTACCCAATCTACCATTTTGGAAAGGAGAATTTTCAGCCTTCCCTTTTTGTCCCCAAAGGTATTTTTCTCATTCCTTAAGATTCCTCTAGTTTTTGCTAGGTTTGTCACTGAGTTTTGTGAAAGCATCCATGTTTCTCAAGTAGAATGGAAGCTCCTTAAAAGGCAGTTATCAGCCCTCCTTCCAGATTGGACCCTGTTACCTCTTCAGCCTCTCTCCAGACTTCAGCTGAGAGCCTTGGGCTGAAGATAGGAGATCAGGCTCTGCCACTCTTGCTATATGTCTCTGGACAAGTCCCTCCCTATCACAGGAACTGTGGCCCGGCCTGAGGGTAGTCAATCCGATGAACCCCTGATCTGCTTGATTAGTCCCTGCTTGCTCCATTGCCTCCATTTCCCAAGCAATCTCATCTCCTTTCAGGAAACATGTTACCTGGTGGGCCACAGGGGTGGAGCAGGGAGATCCAGGCAGAGTTGGGAGGGACAGAAGGAGTCATGCGGGGAGTCTGGGATGAATCTTTCAGCCCCACAAGAGCCTCAGCTGCCTCCCGCTGCAGCTGCCGTTCTGATGGGGCAGAGGTCCAGGCCAGGCGAGAGGCTCCAGGGGCCTGCAAAGAAAAGCGAGAGAAGCAGATTGGGAACCCCACTTCTGCCCACCATCTAAGTGCGCCCTCAGCCCCTGGTTCCCTCACTACCCCTATTCTTCCCTTCCCCAGAGTTCTGGACCCCACTTCTTTCCCAAGACCTGTGGCTGCAGCAGAAGAGGGTCTGGGGTGCCACAGGGCTGGAGTATCAGAGTTGAGCATCTAGAAACAAAGACGATACCAGAGGAGTCAAACACACGGACAGGCATGTACACATGGGGAGAGGGGAAGGATTTTGCTACATTCCAATTTGGAAATCTGAGTGCCTGCTGTGTCATTAGGTGTTGTGGTGTCAACCAAGACCCTCCCCCTGTCTTGGCCTGCTTTGATTTCTGTAAAGTGAAAATCCCCCCAACAACTTCTCCCTAGGGTACTGTGAGGATTATCATCATGCAATCATTGATGTGTTTTCAAAAAACTGATAAGGTGTCTGGTTCCTGCCTTAGCAGGGTCTGGTTCATCTCCCGCTAATTCCCTAATCCCCATGGGACTTGCAGGAGCAGTATGAAGAAACCTTTTGGAAATTTTCTCTAATTGCCTCTGAGCCTTTTCCTCTCCCTTCCTTCCCTCCCCCTGCATTTCAGTAATTCAACCCCATCTTATGTATTTAGGCCAATTTAATAGCCACTATTTGTTCAAGGCCTGTGCTAGTTGTATTCCATAAATGATTGCTAATTCTCATGACAACCTTGGAAATAATAGTGTCTCCAACTTACAGAAAAACGGGCTCAGAGTAATGGTACTTGTACAGAGGTTCACAGCTAGGCAGTAGCAGAACTAGGAGAGCTCTGTCCTGCCCATTAGCCTGAGATCTTTTCTTCTTCTTTACCATCTACTGTGGTGTCCAGCACAGGGGCAGGTGCATGATCCTTCTCTCTCTACTCACGTGCGGGGCAGGAGAGAGGGCCCTTGGGATTCTCCAGAAAGAGGAGCTGTCAGTATCGGGCGAGATCCTGGGTAGGTCGGGAGGGGCCCGTGAGTGGGCAGCCGGAGGGAGGTGACCGGGTCAAAGCCTATGAGGATAACAGAAAGCAGAGTTTATTGGGGCCACAGGTCATGGCTTCTGTGCTCCTTTTTCCTACCCAGCATCTTCTTCCTCTTTTCTTTCTGATACAGTGGTGTGCTGGCATTCAAATCTCTGTTGCGTTATTGAATGTTGAGTTCATCTTACCAGGGAAGGGATGCAGAGGGATGGCAGGTTCTTGACACAGTAAGCGGCACACCACTGGGGGTGGCATGGAAAGGCCTGGAGGCAGCCAGTGTCCAGGGGCCCAAGAGCCTGGAGGTATTGGAGTCCAGGGAAAAGGCAAGGCTTCTGGGGTACGGGTGAGCAGCAGAGGCCCCTGGGAGTTCTCCTACAATGGCAGAGGGCACAGGTTGGAGTCAGATACCAGGGTGGGGAAGGAGTATGTTCTGTGGTGGGGGTAGGATCCCCAAATTCCAGATCTTGGAGGGCTATAAAATCCACCCCCTCATTTTGCTCATGGAAGAGAAGTGATTAGCTCAAGGTGGTATTAAGAAGTCAGGGATGGACCCAGAACTGAGGTGTTGAGGGCACAGAGGCAGGGGTTTGGGCTAGGACAGGGGTCACTCCTTCAGGGCCCAGACCTTACCTTCCCAGGGGATGTCAGTGCCAGTGGGACTGCCCCATGGTGGGTCTGAGGCTGGGGTGCTATGTTCTCCTTTCCAGCTGTGAGGGATCAGGGAGAGCTTTGGTGAGCTATTTTTCTGGACCCGCCATTCCATTCCAAACTGAGTTCTCTTCTACCCACAAATCTCACTGTATACTCCCAATACCCGATCACATTTAACTTGGGGAACTGAAATGCCCAGAGAGTAGAAACACCTTATCTAAGGCCACACATTAATTCAGTGGCAGTTCTGGGACTTCTTCCCCCAGTTAGTTTTCCTCCACCCAAATCCCTACCCAATTCCTGGCCAGACACTCACGGGGGACTCCTTGTCGAGTGGCTCCCTTCTTCACACGGTTGGGAGCTTTGGGAGGGGTCGCTCCTCTCTTCATCAGGCCCTGAGCCAGGTGCCTCTTTAGCTGTGCCTCCTGCTGCCTACGCAAGGCCACCTGGGCAGCCATGACTCTTCGGCGCTCTCTAAAAGGGGGGTGGTGAGTCAAAGGTTGGGCACCCTAAAATGAGGTCTATTTTTGTTCTTTCCCCTGGGTCTCATACTCACAAGATGAGGACACATTTGTGACACTCGCATGTCTGAAAGAGGCAGAGACGCTTGTGGCCCTTGAGGTGGGCAGTGACACCGTGGTTGCGGCAGCGGGCACAGGTTGGGGAGCGACTGACAGCTCTCCTGGGGACAGGCTCTGTGCCCTGGGAGGCTTTGGTCTCACCCTCTGTGGCACAATCGGAGGGGCAGCAGTGGACAGCAGGCATTTCCTTGGGCTCCATGGATCTAGGGGCAGGTGTGAAGGGTCAGCATGGCCTTGTGGGGCATCTCCTGATCAGCCCTCCTGCCTCTGGGTGCCACCCCTTAAGTACTTCTCTATTGTGCTCCACCCTGGACTCAGCTTTCGCCCTCCTGTCTCCTCAGGTGTTTTCCCTTCTTCACTCTGCCCCCCTCCTCAGCACCCTCCTCTTGGGGAGCACCTTTCCCCCAATAAATCCTCTCCTCTTGTCTTTCTAACATATTCTTTCAACCAGAACATCCTCCCTCCTGCTACTGCACCTTCCCCACACACACACCCCAGTTTTTAGGGCTCCGCACGCACTCGGGGTGCCCCCTTCAGCAATTCCTACACCCCCTTTCCACAAACACCCGGTTGCAAGTTTCCCCGGGTCTCTCCTGTCAGCCACGAGCGTCCTCCCCGCCGGCGTCTTTCCGATTCCTCTGATGCTTTTAGGTTCCGTCGCCACGCCCTGGCTTTGTGTCTGCCTCATCATCCGATGCCCCCTCGCCCTCCTGCCGCCTGATTTTGCTCTCGCACCCAGCAACGGCATGATTATTTATTCTCAGGGATTCCTCGCCCCACTCGCAATCGTTGTTTCCATCACTGCGCAAACGTCCCCGGATTCCCTGCACCTGCTGGCCCTGATCGCGACCCCCGGTCAGGGTGCACCCGCCGGCCCAGGCCGACTGCATCACCCCCCGACACTCACGTGCACCCCCTTGCGGCCACTGCCCCCCACCCCAGGCCGGCGGCCCCGCCCCAGGGGCCCAGGGAGGGGGCGGGGCCCGTGGAGCGTGCCCCCCCGCCCCCCGCCGTCCCGGGCCCCCCCAAGGGGGATGAGAGGAGAGGCGCGAGGAGCGCGAGGGGGAGGACAGGGGATGCTGGGGGCGGGGGTCCAGCGCAAGAGAGAGGGGGCAGAAGGGACGGGGAGGGGCGGGGTCGCGTTCTCATCATGGTTACCACAGCTTCGAGCAGAGTTAATTTCAGTCAGGAGAAAGAGAAAGGACGTGGTGAAGCCTTGCGACGAGGAACGGCCGCGCTCGCGCGCGTTTTCCCGCCCCTTCTCAAAAGGGCCAATGAGCTTCAAGCACAGCCTTCCCTCACGGAGACAGGCGACCAATAGTCTTCTAGATCCTGCTCCGACGGCCCGCCCCTTACCTCCTTCTCACTTCTCCTCGTACCAGACTATCTGGCCAGCCAGTAGCGCGTCGAGTTGAGTCTCACGTCCTCTTTCCCCGCCCCCTTGTGCCTTGTCTTCGCAAATTATTGGTCCCCTTTGGAGGCTGATGGCCAATGGGGCGTCGAGTACCTATTCCAGGACGAGGCGGGGCAATGCCCCGCCCCCCAGAACGATCCACCCCACCGGGTCCCCCAGGCGTTGACGCAAAAGCGTGCGCATGCGCAGTCTTGCCACGTCTTGCGTCTTGCCGCCGCAGCGTCTTCCGCTCGCCTGTGTGGCTCTGCGCCTCCTCGCTGGGTGGACCCCGAGTTTTCTCTCATTTCTCTCCCGGTGCCCCAACTCCTGCTCTACTGTTTTTCTTATATTTGTTCCCCGTGTCTTTTCCAAGCCCCACCCACCGTCTCGAGTGCACCCATTTTTCGTGTGTTTCGTCTCGTCACGGGCAGCCATTTTCCTGGTTCTCGTCAGTCCGTGTGCCCTTCCCGCTGGTTTCAGTGTCTTTCCCCCCCCCACACTTTCCTCACACCCCTAGGCGGCTGTGCTGCTGTTTGCCAGCCCTCTCAGCATTTGTGCCCCCGCGCCTCTCCGGGATTCACGCCTTCTGGGGCTCTGAAGTGGCGGCCTCCTCCGTGTTCCTGGGGTAGCCCCACCTCCCTTTCCCTCCCCTGCCATTGTGTTGTTCCCCTTTCTTGGCACACCCCGCCCTGTCGGCTTTGTTCTCTCTCACCCGCTAAGGTGGTCCCTTCCTTCCCCTGAGGGCCTCGCCTTTGCGCCCCACTCCTTATTTCCCGACTGGCGACTCCCTCTCTGTCCAGCCTCCCCTTGAGAGGGACGGCCTCTCTGGCCGTTTGATCCTTTTCTCCTTGAGCATTTCATTCCGTTTCTTTGTCTGGGTCACCTGTTGTGCTGAGGTCGTTGGGTCCAGTGATTTGGCCTTAGAGGCCTTCCTGTGCCTGGCCTGGCCCCTTTGTGTGATCCTTTGTCAGCCTTCATTTCCCCGCCGGTGTCCCATCTTTTCTGTGGCCCTTAGCCCCTTTGTTGTCCACGGATTTCTGGGTCACAGAACCTGTGTACCCGCCATCTGGACAGAAGAGGGTGGCAGAAGCGACCTCTAGCTGGACTTCAGCACGAGGGAGCATTACCAGACAAGTTGGAAAGGTTATTGGGGGCCAGGGAGTGGGGCCTGGGAGGGAGCCCTGGGTGGCAGCTGGTGAGGTTAACCTTGATCCCTTAGATAGTAGAGGGATAGGGGAGCCAGCATGTACGACAGCTTCATATTTGCTTGGCTCCTTAAATGAATAATCTTCTCAATCTCCGACAACGACCCCATGAGATGTTATTAATCCACTTCATTATTTTTCTTAAGCCCTTTCTCCCCTTTTTGGTTATTTTTATCCATTTTATAACTGAGTTGAACACATTGCATAAGACGCCACGGCCGGTGGATGGCGGGGTAAAGATGCCAGCCTCGTCAATCGCTGAGTCCAAAGCCTCTGAACTTTGTGCCACCTGTATTGTTGTGCTTCCTTCCCGGAATCCCCACTTCGTGCCCCTGTGCCCCCATGAGCACTCCTTGCAGGTGGTTCCAAGTACCGTTTGGGGGGGGGTGTGTGTGTGTGCGTGCAAGATGCACAGCATTTTGTTTGCATGAGTTTTTATTTTTGCACGTGATAGCGCGTCATTTACTGTCTAGCACCGTGCTGATGCCATCCGCCCATGTGTAGGTTGCGTGCATGTTTAAGCCGTCGCTGCTTAGTGCTGCCTGCTATTCCATCGTGAGCACCCCCACGTGTTGTGCCTTCATCACGGGTCTCAGGGAGGGTTGCCATGGTGCCTTCAGCTCTCCCTACCACCTGAATGCTGCCAGCTCAGGCGTGTTTCTTTTAGACAATGTGGAAATCTGTTGTGTGTACTTAAGATTTATCAGAAATGGCAATTTGTAAACACTTTGGTGTATGCATTAGCAAATTCCTCCTCACAGTGCTGTTTTAGGCCTGAGACGATCAAAACTTTTTTTAAAAATTTATTTATTTATGCATACAAGAACTGGGGTGAGATAGGAGAGGTCTGCTGCACCATGTGGATCAGCTCCCTGGCCAGGAATTGAACTCAGGCTGCAGTGGCTAGTGCCTGAATAGCTTGATAGCACTGAAGTGTTACCCCTGCATCACTAGGGAGGCTCCTGATCAAAACTTTCAACTCCTCTGTTCTCAGGATCGAGAAGAGGGCCTTATTCCACACCTACCAACAAGGGTCCTTGTAGCCACACATTTCTGTCAATACTTACCTTTTTACAGGTTTCTCATCCTTTGGCAATCTTTTAGACATGACATTCTCTCATTATTGTTGGGTTTGAGTATCTCTTTGTTAACCTTTTTGGTTTGCTTTTCATATGATTGGTCCACTTTCCCATTGGGTTATTCTCTTTTTCTTGTTAGTTTTCAAGAGATCTGTGACCATTCCTTTTGGTTTAAGAAATTGCATGTACTCTTCTATGCCAATTTTGGCATTTCATGTTCTTTTAGAAATTTATTCACTTTTTCTGGGTTTTCAAATCTATAGTGGCTAATGATATTTTTATTACATAAAAAATTTGACATCTTTTACTTTCCATTTTTCACTTTATTATATTTGCATCTTCATATCTGTTGATTAGATTTATTTGAGAGTTGTTATTAATCTTGTCAATTGTTGAATGTTAGTTTTTGGTAATTTTTTTGTTTTCTATTTCAGTGGTACCTGTATATCTTTATCTTTTTTGTGGGGTTGGTGGTGGTGGAGGAATGCTTTATTGCTCCTTATACAACTTTTTGAGTTAATTAATGAATTTGAGTTAATTAATGAACATATTCTTAAATACTTTGTTTCCTGATAAATATATTTAAAGCATAAATTTCCTTCTAAATACTGCCTACTTGGGTCCTAAATTTTAATATGTGACTTTAAAAACAACTTTTGATTTTGAAGTGATTTTTTACTCTCAGGAGCTGAGAAGACAGATAACTTAAACCTTTCTTCCAGCTTCCCTGTGGGGACATTTTATATAACTGCAGATGTTAAGCAGGAAATTGACATCGATACAACACTCTTCGCCAGACTACAGACCTTATTTCAGTTTTCGCCAAACTTACATGCATGTGTGTGTGATACATAACATGTTCATTTTTCAGTTCTAACTACTTTTAAATATTCTCTTCAAACCAAGGGTTGCTTAGTAATATGTCAATTTTCACATGCACCTTTGTTCAGATCACATTTTCTTTCACTGGAGAACAACTTGCATAATAGTGATCTTTTGAATAAGCCATGATCCTCTGCCCAGAACTGGAAGGACCTAGGCAGGAGAATGAGAAACTAAAGTGGTGGGTTTAGGTTAGATAGGAGAGAAGATGATGAGGTTGGGAAGACCTGTGTCCCTGTATGCCACAGAAACTGAACGTCATTTTTCTGCTCCAGAAACTGAGCCAGAGGCAGGTGGACATTCAGGGACTGACAAGAACCTAACGAGAGCTAGATTGAAATTGGTTCCAGGTTGGCCTCTACCATCCAGGAACCAGACACAGGACCATGGCACACCAGCATTTGAAATCCGTGCAGCTCTTCTGTCTCCTAGGGGCCATCTCTACTATGCCTCGTATGTCCTACCAGGCTGGGTACTTTGGGACTCCCAGAGGGTAGGGGAATGGATTCTTGTCACTGGGGAAAGGAGGGCTGGATGTTTGAACTCCTCAGGGGACAGACAGGCTCTATGGGGGCTGGGCAATTGGTTGGCACTTCAGGGGCTGAGAAGGCAGATGACTGCAAGAACATTCTTTCTTTAGGGGTTGGGGCTCTTTTGTGCTATGAAGCAACATCCTCACTCTTCAGAGCTGTTACCCTGCATAACTGGAAGTGGCTTCTTTTGAGGAGCATGGTGTGTAAGTTGAGTGAGGGCTGCGAGGAGACGCTGGTGCTCATCGAGACAGGTGAAGGGAAATGGCTTTGAGACATTTCTGTTGGCTCCCTCTTCTGATCTCCACCTCCATTCCCTGTACCCAAGGCTCTTGACTTGAGTTCCAGATATTTGTCCCATTGCATCTTTGGACATAACATAATAACAGTGAAGAGGGGCAGGACTTGGTTGGTTGTGATGTGGGTGGGATGAGTGAATAGATTCCAGGAAGAGGGGCCTATTGGGAGAGAAGAAAAGGATGGGACAGAAGGGAGAGAAGAGCAGAGGGACTCTGGGGGAGGCGAGGAGTGAGGAGATAGAGCTGGAGACCCCGGGGTCTGAGCCCAATGCAGCTGCAGTGAATAGACACTGGGAGGGAGGCAGAGCTGGTGATGGGGAAGAGCAGGGTGGAGGGTAGAAGTGATAATGCTGGGTAAGGGTGATTACACTGATCAGAACTGTTTAATCTTATGCTCCTCAGGGACCAGAAGGGGAGTTGTAGGGTTTAAAGGCTGCAGCCCAATTCCATCTTACCCCCAGCGAGTCTCCTACCTTGTTTCACCACCTGGAGTGTCCATTGCCTCCTACAGCCGTGTCTGCCGGACATATCTCTGCAACAACCTTACCAGCTTGGATCCTTTTGTGAAGCTCAAGGCATACTACGCTCCTCAAACTATAGAATATTCTTCCCAGAGTTGCCCAACCTGTGTGGGTGGGCACTCTACAGATTGCTTGCCAAATTTTGTCACCACTGATCCTTGTCCCTATCATGCACCTAAGTGTTACAGTTCCACCTTAAAATTTCAGGCAGGTGAGAGGAGAGAAACTTAATCACATTCTTACTTTATGCTGTCTAGTGTTTCCCATCTCTGAGAGAAGTGTGGGGGAGGTGGAGACGGGATTGGGTTGGGGGGCCAGACATGTGAACTCCAAGGAGGAAGGAGAAAGGTGTCCAGTGCCCAAGTGTTTGGTGGGAGAGCAGGTGTCCTGGTTTGTGAGGTGTGTCTGGAAGGAGGGGCATGGCCTGAGTCTTTGAAGTCCCTGACTCCTCCCTCTCTTCCTTGCAGGGTTTCTGAATACCACCTTTCTCCTCATGGGCTGTGCTGCTGAGCAGAACAACATTTTAACACAATTTCAGAATATTGGGAGCATGAGAGTGACTGAGGTGATCAACATCTTAGAGAAGGCCCAGATTGGTGGTGCACAGTCCTCCAGTTGGGGTCCTGCTTGGGCTGTCGTCTTAGGCATCCTGCTTGCCTTCAGGCACTGATGATGTAGCTGGACCAAACACCCAGACCCCTTTATATAACCAAATAAACTCTTAAAGTTGACTTTCTGCTTTGTCCTGTGATCCATGAGTGTTGTGGAGACATGGAAGCCGTGAGGAGTGCTAAGTATGTCCAGGGAGATGGTGGTGGGGCTGGAAATGGTTAGTGCACATGGTGAAGGGAGCAGGCCAGGTGGGGAGGAGGATTCTTAGAAAAATGGTGGTATCATGGCCAGCAACCAGGAGGACCCCAAATATTCCCAGGAGGACACCAAATATTCCTTTTCCTTCTTCCTCTGGGAACCTGCACTCCAGCCTGGCTTCAGACCCTGACTTGGGAGATCCTGGTCAAATTTCTCCCCTTTTTGGACCTCGTTTTCCTTCCCTTTAAAAGGAAGGACCTGGGCCTCCCCAGTGGTACAGCGGGTTGAGTGCTGTGCTGTGGAGCTGTCCGCAGCCTCTGCAGTGTGGGTTTGATTCCCAGCCAGCCACGGAGATTCCCACATGGTGTGGCAGACCTCTCCTGTCTCGCCTGCTGCTCCCCTCAGCGGTGCTTTCAGTCTGTCTGCCTCTTCTGTTCCCCGCTCTTTATCTGGTGAATCCTCTCACCCTCCTGTGCCTCTGGCCTGTACCCCAGTTCTTGTATAAAAATAAATAATCTTTAAAAAAAATAAAAGGAAGGACCTTATGAGTTAGAGTTGAATCTCATCAGGCAATTTTTCAAAATGATCACTTGAGTGTCTATTCTTTGTCAGATGCTGAACTGTTTTCTGTGTGAGGGTTTCACATGTCGGGTCCCATTCAGTACCCACAACATTTCAGTAAGAAGTTCTTTTTTGCAAAGATGAAACTGGCTGAAGGAAGTTAAATAGCCTGCCCAGAGTAGAATCCTTCTTGCCTCTCCTGCAGATCACTGTCCTTAGAGGGGGAATTTTGTTGACTTGGAAATGTGGACTGCCTTCCTCTGCCAATGGTTGTTTCTTTATGTAAGTTCTCAAATATGGAGGAAAAGAGGAAGGAGCAGCACTAGGTTGACTAGTTTTCACCCAAAGCTCAGTTTCTAAGTTTCTGGGAGAGGATTGTGTAATTCCCCGATATGGCCACACGAGGGAAGCAGATACAGCCATCTTGCAATTTCACACCTTTAAGTAAGTTGTGAGTTGAGTGTGTGTGTGTGTAGGAATGTGGAGTAAGGATGGTGAGTCTCTGGATTAGGCCATTTAACTTAGTGAGCTCTGGTTAATTCTCTCCATTATATAATGAAGTTGGGAGACAGACATTTAAGGTATTTTTTCTGTAGGTAAGCATTTGCTGTGCATTACCTCATTCATTCACTCTTACTTCAGCCTTACTAAATAGATACTGTCATTTCGTATTTTCACTTTACAGGTCAAGAAACAAGTTGAACTACCTGAGGCCCCAGACCTGGCCTTTTCTGATAGCTTGGATCAGTGGGATCTGAAGCACAGGTACCTGTAGTTGGCCCCAGAAATTAGACTGGCATGAAGACCTGGATTACTATGGCAGTAAGGTCACGGTAAGTAGAATCAGTCTGCGTGGAGACCAGAGAGCCCGTGGCAAGAGTTAATTAGGTCACTAAAGGAAGGTTTTGTGTGAGAATTTTGCCAGTGGGCCTCACACCTGCTGTGTTTCTGACCAGTTGGACTAGTGGATCATTATAGAGGGCTGAGCAGAGGCCTGGGTGGACCAAGTCTATTTCCACAGATTCTGTTAATTCTACCAGCCAAGGAGATGAGCACATCAATAACCTCCAAAGGGTATCAGCAAGTCAAAGTGGATGGTATCTTAGAGGTCCCAAACGGTTGGCCCAGGATTGGGACATATTTATTATGTAAAATAGATAACATGAAACAAAGATATTTGGTTATGGAGTATAATTTAATAAACCTCATGAACATATCACTCAACCTAAGAAATAGGATATCAGAAGTAACTTGCCTTTTACCTTTATGTTTCGTCTCACTCTATCCCCTGGCATCTTCTATGAGCCCTACATTTACCTTGGCTTGGATTTTTATGTTTTTTTTTCCAGTGACCTTTTTATTTTATTTTATTATTTTATTTTATATATTTCTTATGTCATTTTCATTTTTGCACAATATATGCATTTTCAGGATTTTTATGTTTTTTTTTTTTTTAAATATTTATTTATTTATTTATACAAGCACTGGGTACAGTCAGAAGCGCGGGAGGGTGAGAGAATTCACCAGAGCCAGAGCAGGGAGCAGAGCAGGCAGAAGGACCGAAGTACACTGCTGAGGGGAGCAGCGGGCCACAGGAGAGGTCTGCGCACCATGCGGGACCCTCCTCCGGTGGCCGGGGAGCAGCCGGGGATTGAACCAGCGCCGCAGAGGCTGAGGGCAGCCTTGCAACCCAGCGCTCAACTGCTGCGCCACCGGGGAGGCCCTTATGCTTTTTTTTAAAGATTTATTTATATATGCATACAAGAGCTGGGGTTTAGGCCAGAGGTGTCGGGGGTGAAAGGGTTTACCAGAGATAGAGTGGGGAACAGAACAGACAGATTGACTGAAGTACACTGCTGAGGGGAGCAGTGGGCGAGTCAGGAGAGGTCTGCTGCGCCATGTGGGCAACTGCTCCCTGGCAGGCCGGGGAATCGAACTCATGCTGGAGAGGCTGCAGACAGCTTCATAGGTTGCATCTTAACCCCCTGCACCACCAGGAAGGCCCAGGATTTTTATGTTTTTTTTTTTTTTTTTTAAGATTTATTTATTTATTTATTTATTTATTTAAGCACTGGGTACAGTCAGAAGCGCGGGAGGGTGAGAGAATTCACCAGAGCCAGAGCAGGGAGCAGAGCAGGCAGAAGGACCGAAGTACACTGCTGAGGGGAGCAGCGGGCAGCAGGAGAGGTCTGCGCGCCATGTGGGAACCCCCCCCCCCCCCCCCCCCCCCCCCCCCCCCGCTCCGGTGGCCGGGGAGCAGCCGGGGATCGAACCGGCGCTGCAGAGGCCGCGGGTAGCTTTGCAACCCAGCGCTCAACCGCTGCACCACCGGGGAGGCCCAGGATTTTTATGTTTTTTGATCTCATATGCATAATTTGTTTAAACACTAATGTTTAGAGTTGCTTCTTATCGATGTTAAAATGGCATCATGTGGTTTTTAGGAACTTTTTAAAAAAAGTCATCATCATATTTCTAATATTCATCAGTGTTCCAGTGTGTAATTTTGTGGTTCTATTTTCATGGAGCTATTAACTGCTATTGTGTCATTGTAACACTATACAATTATTGTTAATTTTGATTTGATTCCCCCTCCAGCAATTTTTTTATGCTTATTGCCATTGAGGCCATGCATATTCTTGTATATGTCTCCTTGTGCTTATGTGCAAGAGTTTCTCCTGTGTAGATATCCAGCAGTGGAATTGTTGGGATGTAGATTTGTTCAATTAGTTTGTTCAATGCCAAACTATTTTTCAAAGTGGTTGTAGCAATTATACATTTACTGATGAACAAATAAAGAATTCTTGTTGATCTACATGCCTTTCAACTTTCCGCACTTTAAAATTTTTGCCAATCTGGTGAGTGTAAAATGGCATTTCCTTGCAGTCTGAATTTGTATCTCCCTGTTTACTAAGTAGGTTGGACTTTGTGTGTGCTCATTGACTGGATTTCTTTGTAAAACGCCTGTTTACGGCTTTTTGGGGTTTCTTTTTATATAGGGTTGTTTAAATTTTTCTTACTGATAAGTAGGTACTCCTTATATATGCTTATGTATTATATGGTAATCTTTTGTGAGATAATTTGTCTTCAATGACTGTGCTTTTGCTTACTAGCAAAATTTACTCTGTGGAGGAACAGAGAAGGCGAATTACTGAGAGTGGAACTGGGGCATGGGGCCCATGAATGAGAGATCTCAGTCATTCATAGGCCACAGTGAGCTCTGTAATGGTCACCCAGAAAATGAACCTGGCTCACTTAAGATATAGTTAAGTGGTTTTGTGCAAGTGGTAGACATTAAGGATTGATCTGTATCTCCCTTTGTCTCCAGATCACCCCAGGGTCACCTCTGATGTCTGTTTCAACATTTCTGTAATGTCAGCACTTGGAATCACTTTTCAGTCCACATGATGCCACCTCACCAATGGTAAATATATGTGCCATGGGTTGTCATGTCACCCTTTTCTAGAACTTTATGTGAATTTGAAAACACTAACTTCCCCTCCTCATATATGCATGCATGCATGCATGCATACATGCATATGTACATACATTCCACAGTTTCTTTATCTAGTCATCAATCATTTGGGTTGTTCCATGTCTTGGCTACAGTGAAGAATGATATTATGAACATAGACATGCATAGATCTGTTGGTATTAGTGTTTTCATATTTTCTGGATAATCACTTAGCACTGGTATTGCTGGGTCATCAGGTATTATTATTTTAAATTTTTAAAAAAGATTTATTTATGCATACAAGAACTGGGGTACCAGCCAGAGATGTGGGGAGGGGAGTAAGAGGGTTCACCAGAGACAATGTGGGGAAGAGAACAGGCAGACTGACTGAAATATACAGCTGAGGGGAGCAGTGGGCGAGTTAGGAGAGGTCTGCTGCTCCGTGTGGGTAGCTCCGTGGCCGGGGATCGAACTCGTGCTGCAGAGGCTGCAGACAACTTCACAGTGCTGTGCTTAACCCCTTGTGCCACCAGGGAGACCCTCATTTTTAATTTTTTGAGGCCACTCCATACCTTTTTGCTTGAATGGTGGGAGTATCTGTGAGAGGGTTAGAACCACTAGCCAGGCTTACAGTGTTGATAACACTGTGGGCATTGTGTGTTGCATCCTACATGAGAATGGCCATTGGATTTGTTTCTTTTGTGCACACCTGTGTCCAGTTGTTCACATAAAGTCAGGAAGCTTAGGGAAAACTTCCTTATCTCTTGAGTTCAGGTGTGCACATTTACATAGGCCTGGGGAACAATATTTTAGAGAGGTTTCGGAAAAATTAAGGGTAGGAAGCCAAGCCCTACCTGGCCAACCACTAGAACCATTTCTCAAGGATGTCTGAATCTCCAGTAATCCTTGTGGTTTGGAGAGGTAAAAACCATTTCTGAGAGCATAGGGATTGTGGGGATTGAGGCCTGTAGGGGCTGGTCCTGGCATGGAGGTTATAAGTTGTACCAAGTAGAGCAGGCTTATGTCTCCCATGATTGTAGTGCTCTTTCTGGGATGATGGTAATACCTCACATGGCAAGAAATATGTTCTTGCATGTGTCCCTCTATGGTTGGGGCAGCCCAAGAGGTCCCATATCCTAGAGGAGATAGTGTCACTGATTCAAACACTGCTCTTCAGGAAGATGCCACACAGGTACACTGAGGTGGGGTGGGGTCTGTGGATGTGATGGAAATTCCCTTGAGTCTCTCTCTTTACAAAGTGAGTGCACATTCTCCTAGGGTTTCAGCCTCAACCTGAGGTCTCTGAACCCTGTCCTCCCACCACTGACTAAGAGTATTTAGGCAGATAGCATTTTGTAAGTGCATTTCATCTTGGCTCTTTTCATCCATATAGTTGTCTCCTGTATATTCTCTTAGGCATGTCATAGTCTTGGGACCATTCATACCTCCCTCTGGAGTAGTTGTGAGCTGTGATTCTTGAGTTTATCATGAGAACCCACCACTGTCACATGTCACACGTGACAGCCATCTTGGTGTCCCCTCCACATGGAGATGGTGCTATAGAGACCTACAGGAGGTGGGATCAGGAGTGGAATATGATGGTTTTTTTTTTTTTAAAACTTTTTAATTAATTAAAATTTTTTAAATTTATGTGTACAAGAACTGGGGTATAGGCCAGAGGTGCGGGGGTGGGGGTGAGAGGATTCACCAGAGACAGAGTGGGGAGCAGAACAGGCAGGTCTACTGAAATCTACTGCTAAGGGGGGCAGCAGGTGACACAGGAGAGGTCTGCTGTGCCATGTGGGTTAGCTCCCTGGCCAGGGGACCAGACTTAGACCACAGTGGCTGGCCTTGATAGTGCTGAGACTTTAACCCCTGCACCACTAGGGAGGCCCAGGTGTGGAACATAATTTTAAGCCAACAATAATGACAATGTTAGTTCACATTTTTGTGCATTTATTCCTGCAGTAAAAACTTCTAAGGACATTCCATCTCTACCATTGAGTATTCCTGTGCTTTCAAAAAAGTAAGTACATCACAACCATTGCATTTTAGATAAGATATTTTGATTTAGAATTTTATATGTCAAAGAAGGGAAGAAGGATCACTACAGCACTTCAAGGATGATGTCAATACTTTTGTGGGAACCGACCTGGTTGTAGACCTCACAGTGATAATTCCCTGCATCCTCCTTTCTGACGTTGTCTATGGTGAGGATTCTGTTGTCCCTGGATAGTTTCTTCCTCTCTGTGATACCCAGATTCTGGTAATTGAAGAACCACTGGATAGAGATCACAGTGTCATTTATGAGGCATGTCAGAAATACAGTGTCTTTTTCTAGGGCTTTGACTTTGCTCAGTTGGCCATGATTCTGTGCCATTGGTTCTGTGGAGAAATAAAGAAGGTGAATGACTGATCATTGATCTGGGGTGTGGACTACACTGCTTTCTTTTTTTTTTTTTTTAAATAATTCCTGGTTTTATTTTTTTTTTTAAAGTGACAGTCTTTTTTTTTTATTTATTTATTTGTTTGTTTTGTTTATATAAGCACTGGGTACAGTCAGAAGCGCGGGAGGGTGAGAGAATCCACCAGAGCCAGAGCGGGGAGCAGAACAGGCAGAAGGACCGAAGTACACTGCTGAGGGGAGCAGCGGGCGGCAGGAGAGGTCTGCGCGCCATGTGGGACCCTCCTCCGGTGGCCGGGAAGCAGCCGGGGATCGAACTGCGCCGCAGAGGCTGCGGGCAGCTTCGCAACCCAGCGCTCATCCGCTGCTCAACCGCTGCGCCACCGGGGAGGCCCAACTTTCTTAGAGGAAGGGCTGTGCCTGCAGATAGGTGGCGTGACTCTGACTGGTGGATCATGTCTGAGTGGCTCTGATGCACTGACTGTAATCCCTTGTAGCTTAGTTTCCCCTCAATAAAACAGTTTAAATGGCAAACAGTTTAAATGGTAAACGCTCTTGCCATGCGGTCTGGAATTTCCCTTAAATCATTCATAATTAAGGTTATACAGAGGAGCTTCCCAAATTATGGGCAGCCCAAATAATGGCATTATTTGTCTCCATCAGATACCCCCTGTGCTGATCCCTGGTGAACAAGAAGCTGCAAGGAGCAAATTCTCTTTTGTCCTTTCCTTGGGGCATTGACCATCCATCCTCTTGAAGCTCCCACACCACATTAGAGTTGGCTAATGATCTTAGGATCTTTTCTTTTCTTTTTTTTTTTTTTTTATAATGGCCAGAGATGGCTTTTTTTTTTTTCCTAAGATTCATTCATTCATTCATTCATTTATTTATTTATGCAAGCACTGGGTACAGTCAGAAGCATGGGAGGGTGAGAGAATTCACCAGAGCCAGAGCAGGGAGCAGAGCAGGCAGAAGGACCAAAGTACACTGCTGAGGGGAGCAGCGGGTGGCAGGAGAGGTCTGCGCACCATGCAGGACCCTCCTCCAGTGGCCGGGGAGCAGCCGGAGAACGAACTGGCGCTGCAGAGGCTGCGGGCAGCTTCGTAACCCAGCACTCAACCACTGTGCCACCGGGGAGGCCCAGGATCTTTTCTTTTACTCCACATCGATTCTCAGAAAATGACCTGGCTCTGTATCTGCTCAGGTATGTGTCTTTTGTAGAAGAGTCCTGGCTGGTGATCCTGCTCCCATTATTCTTGCCCAGGAGCCAAATATAACCTGGCATGGGCTCACCTGTATCACAGGAGCCAGGATTTCCAGCTCAGGGTTCTGAGCTATGGTTTCTGGAGGCTGATCATCTCTGCGAGGTCCCTCATTTAGGCCCTGACTGAATCCTGCAGGGCTCCAGGGTCATATTCATGGTGAGGCCCAGTCCTTGTTCTCCGACTGATCTCTCTCTGCTGAGTTTCTCCAACATCTAGACTTTCTTTCTGCAGGGAACATCTGAAGGGTCTGGATTTGGGGAAAATAATCCAATCTTTTGAGTTTGTCTCTGCTGTGAGTGTCCTGCATTATATGCTCAAACCCCAACCTGGGGACATAATGCAGAGGGGAATGGAAGCACCATTCAGGCCAATCAATCTGTAGTGTGAAGTAGAATTCACCACCCCCTCACCACCACCACACCCAGAGCTCAGAGAGGAATCACTCACTGTGAATGGAGAGATGTGCAGCTGCTATTTCCACTTGAAAATCCGATTTTATGACTGCGAGTGTGTAGGCTCCTGAGTCCTCCTGGGTGGCGTTCCGGATGAGCAGGGTGCCATTGGAGTATATTATCTCTCGACCACTGTATGCAGGCCCTGGGAATGTTTCTTGTGTGTTTATTATAAGAGATGAAAGTTGATGATTGCCATCTATGTTTTCACCTTTGTACCACACATAGCTTAGGAGATGCCTTGGCAGATCACGAACATAGATAAGAACATCACTTGCAAGTGTGAAATGCTCTGATTCCACAAGTAGCTGGGCGGTGGTGGGTGGGAGCCAGGATTCTGATAGTGAGACTAGGAGGGAAGTAATAGAAATTGATCAAAAGTTGGACCTATGTTTTGGCCTGGGAAGCGGGTTCCTAATCCCTCATTGTGTGTGTGTGTGTGTGTGTACTGATGTTTTGGCCTGGGAAGCGGGTTCCTAATCCCTCATTGTGTGTGTGTGTGTGTGTGTGTGTGTGTGTGTGTGTATACGTGTACACCTGTACTCTCACCATTAACTCTGAGACTCTGAATTTTTTATTTTCTGTGAATTCTCTGAACCATGTGTGTGCTCAGCTCACCCCCTCCCTGTCCTCAGATCCCTGCTCACCCTCAGGGCATCCTTGGGAGGTGCCTTCCTGGCCCCCCCTCTAAAGACCCACTATATTCATTTTGTGACCTTTCCCTTCTCCATGTCCTTGTGTTTATTTATTAAGTTCTGAGGTTAGAGAGTAAGAACAATGTCTAGTGCCTTGGTTGCATTTTGCTATCATCCCACCCATCTCCTCTCACCTGCCAGCAGGAGCCCCTTATAGGAATTGCGCCCTCTGTAGGCAGGGGCTGAGGGGGCCTCCATGGTGTCTGCCGCCTGCTCTGTGCGCCCTCTTGAGAGAAGATCTCGGGCTCACGAAATGCTCACAGGCACAGCTGCTCCTGAGGTGCTTCCTCCTCTGTGTTGCGCCTTCTTCTACAGGAGGAAGGCTTTTCAGGGTCATGTGGACTGGGGTGGGGTTTCTGCCTAGGACCTTCCCTGGATCCTCTCCTCATCTCTGCCTCCGTTTCCCCTTTTCCCTTTCTGTTTACATTCGGACTCCTGGGATTTGCTGAAATCTTTGCCTTCCCCACCTGTAATCCCTGCCCTATGCTCACGCGCACACTCACACACACACACACACACACACACATACACACACACACAGTATCACATATGGATCTGAATTTTCTCATCTTTCCTTCTTTCCTTCAGAGCAGTAGCCTGAGGGGTACATCAGCTCTGTTATCTCAGGATTTGATCCCTGCTGTGTGTCAGAACCACCTGTGGAACTTTATGAAAATTCCGAATACCTAGATGACACTTTGTAAATGCTGTTTTAGTAACTACTCAGGTAACTGGGATGCCCATCTAGGAGAGATCTGTGATGTAGGTTGGAAGCCTCTCCCCCTTACACTGTACAGTTGGAGCTGAAGATAGTATTAAAATGTAGATTCTGACCTGACTAGTATAGGTTAGACCAGAGAGGCTTCATTGTACAAGCTTTTAGGTGATGCTGAACATTTTGTCCTGAGGGATTCACTTCATTGAAGGCTGATGGGGACTCCTCACCTGCCCCATTGTTGGTCTCTGCTGTGTCCTGGACTGTGGTCAAAGATTTCAAAGGCACTTACAGAAGCTGTACATAGATCTGAATAATCGTTAGTTTTAAAATTCAGACAATGAGGGCTATTTAATATTTGATAAAAGTGGCTTCTTACCTTTGAGATGATGAAGAAAATGGGAAACACAAAATCTTTGCTTTATAGCTCGATTACTCCAACCAATTCTTTTTTTCCAAGATTTATTTATTTATGCATACAAGGGCTGGGGTGTAGGCCAGAGGTGCAGGGAGGGTGAGAGGATTCACAGAGTGGGGAGCAGAACAGGCAGATTGATGGAAATACACTGCTGAGGGGAGCAGTGAGCGAAACAGGAGAGGTCTGCTGCTCCATGTGGGTAGCTCCCTGGCTGGGACTTTCCAGCTAGGTGCTACAGAGGCTGCGGATAGCTTCATAGTGCTGAGACTTAACTCCTTGCGCCACCAGGGAGGCCCGCCAACAAATTCTTATCAAAAGCAGAGCAAAGTTCAAGAAAACTTTGTCCTTTTAGAAAATGGAACACCAGGATGGACTGCAGGGTATTGCGCTAAGTGAAATATGTCAGAGCGATAAAGGCAAATACCATAAATTTTACTTGTATGAAAAAGATAAAGAAGACAATAAGAGAACAAAGAAAGCAAGAAAACAAAGTTAGATTCCAAGAGCAGATTGTGGTCACCAGAAGGGGAGGAGGTTGGGTGGGTGAGTGAAATGGATAAAGGGGTCAGTTGTTTGGTGGTGGATGGAAGCCAGACTTTGCGTTGTGGTCATGATTTGTGTAGTTACTAGTGTGTTACTGTACACCTGATACTCTTATAATGCTACAAACACTTTTAAAAAAGATATATTTATTTATGCATACAAGAACTGGGGTACAGGGCAGAGGTGGGGGCTGAGAGGATTCACCAGAGACAGTGTGGGGAGCAGAACAGGCAGATTGACTGAAATACACTGCTGAGGGGAGCAGTGGGCAAGACAGGAGAGGTCTGCTGTGCCCTGTGAGTCACTTCTCCTGTCCGGGGCCTGAACTCATGCTGCAGTAGCTTCAGATTGCTTCATAGTGCTGAAGCTTAACCCCTTGCACCACCAGGGAGGTCCCTACAAAGACTTTTTACTCCTGATGTAATTTGGATGTTAACCTTTTACCACACATGTAGATAGAGTGGGGGAATGAGGAGAGGTTGGTATAGAGATGCAAGCTTTTTATATCATGAATTAATTCTGAGCTTCTACTGTATAGTATAAAGACTATTGTTAATATTGATTGTATAATTGAATTTTTTTTTTTACTGAAAGGAAATAGACTCTTAATTTTCCTCCTGAATTGGAGCTCAGAGCAAATTGCATGTAAACACAACCACAGCAATATATGACAATGTAGTAGAAGTGTGCATTTCTCCTGGCTTTTTACTGACCACTAATAACCACCCTCAGCACATTGAAAACAGTTCTTTTTTGGGTAAAGGTTCTTTAAGTTTTTGATCTGAAAATTGGTATCTTGGATATTAAACTCTTATCGGTTATGTAATTGTAAATATTTTCTCACATCCAGTAGGATGTATTTTTGGCCTATTTATATTTTCTTTGGATCTGTAAAAGCTCTTTAATTTCAGGTAATCCCAGTTGCTTACTTTTGCTTTTATTTTCTGTGATTTAGGTATTCAGTCTTCAAAGACATTTTTAATATTGTCATGAAATGTTTGCGAATGTTTTCTCTCTGTATTTTACGGTTGCAGGTCTTATATCTAAGTCTGTAGTACATTTTGAACTTATTTTTGTGCATGGAGTTATAATCTGTCTTCATTCTTTTACCTGTGGCCTTCTCGTTTTCCCAGCACCATTGTTTAAAATCATGTTAACGTTGATTTACAATCTTTTTTTTTTTATTGTCCAAGTGCTGTTTTATTTATTTTTTTTAATAATAAATTTTATTTTTATATTCCCCATACAATTTCAACCCCTCCATTCTGACCCCAATCCCTCCCCTCCCTCCCCCCACCCCACAAAAAGTGTCTCTGGTTCATAATTTTTGTTGATTTTCACTTTCTTATAGTTATTCAATTTCCTGGTCCCTTATTTAAGTTTTCTAGATTCCTGCTATGAGTGAGACCATCCGGTATTTTTCTTTTTCTTTCTGGCTTATTTCGCTGAGCATGATCCCTTCCAGCGCCATCCATGTTGCTGCAAATTGCATGTGTTTATCTTTTTTAAATGCTGAGTAATATTCCATGGTATATATGTACCACATCTTCTTGATCCAGTCATCTATTTTTGGGCATCTGGGCTGTTTCCAAAGCTTAGCTATTGTAAATAGTGCTGCTACAAACATAGGGGTGCTGGTGCTCTTTGGAATTGATGTTTCTGTGTCCTTTGGGTAAATACCTAGGAGTGGAATTGCTGGATCATATGGAAGCTCTATGTTTAGTAGGTCCAGAAATCTCCACACAGCTCTCCATAGTGGTTGGACCAGTTTGCACTCCCACCAACAGTGCAGAAGAGTTCCTTTTTTCCACACCCTCACCAACATTTGTTGTTGCTAGTTTTTTTAATATGTGCCATTCTCACTGGTGGAAGATGGTATCTCATGGTAGTTTTGATTTGCATTTCCCTGAATCTTTTTTTTTTAAAGATTTATTTATTTATTTATTTATTTATTTAAGCACTGGGTACAGTCAGAAGCGCAGGAGGGTGAGAGAATTCACCAGAGCCAGAATGGGGAGCAGAGCAGGGAGAAGGACCGAAGTACACACTGCTGAGGGGAGCAGTGGGCGACAGGAGAGGTCTGCGCGCCATATGGGACCTTCCTCCGGTGGCTGGGGAGCAGCCGGGGATCGAACCAGCGCTGCAGAGGCTGCGGGTAGCTTCGCAACCCAGCGCTCAACCGCAGTGCCACCGGGGAGGCCCTGATTTACAATCTTTATTTGTGTTTTAGCGGCAGAGGATCTCCCCCTACTGGTGTTACTACACCCTTCCCAACATCAAAGCACCCACAGTCCATCCCCATAGGTCCTTGTGTTCCTTTGCCACTGTGTTCTCACTCCTCTCCCTCAGTAGTTCCAGTTCTATAATCAACTTTCTAGGGTTTGTGCTTAGCTTGGCTTTATCTCATCCCTTTTTGATATCTTTATATTCCACATAAGTGATATCACCCTGTATTTTTTTTCTAAAGATGTATTTATTTATGCATACAAGAACTGGGGTGTAGGCCAGAGGTGCGGGGGGTGAGAAGATTCACCAGAGACAGAGTGGGGAGCAGAACAGGTGGATCAGCTGAAATACACTGCTGAGGGGAGCAGCAGGCGAGACAGGAGAGGTCTGCTGCACCATGTGGGTCACCTCCCTGGCCGGGGATCAAACTCATGCTGCAGTAGGTGCTGATTGCTTCATAGTGCTGATGATTAACCCCTTGCTCCACCAGGGAGGCTCCCACATGCCTATTTTAATTAAACCAAAAATGTAGCTGTTCTTTACAAAAAATGATTCTAAATTGTGTTAACTTGAAAAAAACGGATTAGTTTTTATAATGATATAAATGTTGTAAGAGTTTCAATTTTATTAAGTGCTTAGTTTTAAGGCAGTCAAACATTAACTCTGGCAATACTACACAATGTAAGATAAAATATAATATACATACAAACACACATGGGGGGTCACACAAAATACACAAGATATTCACAAACAAATCTTCTGGCTTTCATTTACTATTAAATTAAAGCCAATTGTCAAGTAAAATCTCAGGTAGAATCTCATGCCTTTATAAATTGGCACCCGGATTCTCTGACAAGCAGCCCCATGGAGGCCATGCACCAGAGCCTAGACAGGAAGGGAAGACCAGAATGAACACATTTGTGCCAAAAACATAAAGAATGTAGCCCAGGTCATCATGGGAAATGCTATACACAGCTGGGCAACAATTTCCATAGCTGCTGCTTATAAAGTGAAATAAAAGTTCTCTCAACACTTTTTTTTTTCTGTTTAGAATACCACCCTGAAGCGCGCATTGTAGATAGATGGCCCAGATGAACTAATACTGAGATGCAAGACTCTGGGGATGGTAACGTTATCTGGACAGCATCTTGATGCATTTCTGATTTTCTTTTTTTTTTTTTTTAGAGATTTATTTATTAATACAAGAACTGGAGGTTCTAGTGCAGGCCAGAGGTGCTGGGGGGTGGTGAGAGGTTTCACCAGAGACAGAGTGGGGTGCAGAACAGGCAGACAACCGAAATACACTGCTGAAGGGAGAAGCAGGCGAGACAGGAGAGGTCTGCTGTGCCATGTGGTTATCTCCCTGGCTGACCGGGAGTCGAACCTGCACCGAAGAGGCTGCGGAAAGCCCCACAGTGCTGTGCTCAATCCGCTGTGCCACCAGGGAGGCCCCATTTCTGATTTTCATAGTGGAAAGTATGTCTTTTCCTTCTCATAGCTTAAGGGAGAAAGTCAAAATAGAAATTGTGTCAGGACTTGAATATTACATTCTGATTAGGCAAAATTTTTGAGCTATTATTTTATAATTCTTTGAAATATCTTGTCAGGTTTCAGCCAGGATGAACAGAAATTATTTCTGGCAGAATTAGACAATTTGAGAGCATAAGAGGCATTCCCAAAGAGAGTACAAAGGATTTTCTCATCCAGAAGCTAAGGTTAGTCAAAAGAAAGACATAAATTATTGCTCTCAGGGCTGACAAGAGAGCCTGCCTCCATCTTCTCTGCTGGCACTGACCCTGCCATGGAGATTTGTGAGGAAACTTGACCTTTGCAACCCTAGGATGGACTAAGGGTATTATGCTAAGTGAAACACTTCAGAGGAATGCCACACATAGTATTTGATTTCAATATGGGAAAGATAATAAGGAATGGATAAAGAAAACAAATGAACTAAGTAAGCAAGAATAGAAAGTTAGATTTCAAGAGCAGATTGGTGGTTACCCGAGGGAAAGAAGATGGGGGTAGATGGGCAAAAGGGTAAAGGTGGTGGATGAGTCATGATTTTTATAAATAGATATCAAGTGTGTTAGTTGAAACTTACGCAATGTTATAAAATGATGTATTTTTTCCTAATGTAATTTAGATAGTACTCTCTTTTCAGTTATGGAAGTGTTGCTGTGTCATATGATATTTCCTTTTTCCTTTTTTTTGTATTTTAAAGAAACTTTATACAATTTTAATTTTTAAAAAAGATTTATTTATTTATGCATATAAGAACTGGGGTACAGGCCAGAGGTGTGGGGGGCGGTGAGAGAATGCACCAGAGACAGAGAGGGGAACAGAACAGGCAGACTGATTGAAATACACTGCTGAGGGGAGCAACAGGGGAGACAGAAGAGGTCTGCTGTGCCATGTGGGTAGCTCCCTGGCTGGCTGCAGAAGCTGAGGATAGCTTCATAGTGCTGTGCTTAACCCTTTGCGCCACCAGGGAGCGCCTCCATTTTTTAAAAAATTAATTAATTTATATATGTTGTACATCATTGTTCATATAGTTTGGAGGGTATTTTGCTAAGTTGAGTAGGTCAGAGAGAAAGACAAATACCATATTTTTTTACTTGTGTGTGGAAAATGGAAAGGTAGGCAAATGAAAAAAAAAAGAGCAAAAATTAGTTAAAAAAGAGCAAAAATGAATTGTTACACCAGAGAGTAGTCTGGTGGTTACATGAAAACAAGAATTGGTGAGTGTATGAGATGGGTGAAGTAGATGGATGCTGCCCCACCAAGCAGCTGAGGAGCCACATTCAGAGATGAGACAGTTAGGGGCACCCGGGAGAAGAGTCTCCCATAGTCCCAGTTAGTGACCCGTGAGTGGGAATACAGGGCAGAACTCACTTTGTCCCTCAGGTCCCTGGGGAGGACCTAAGACTGACACATTCCTAAAGTGGACATTGGTGAGCTGGTGTGAGGTCTGGAGGTTGTGATGCTGGGAGGTGACTGTGGAATGTGCTTGCCAAGAAAGCAGGATGGGAGGAGAAGAGCCTGAGGATTGGACAGGAGTTGGGTCTGAGGAATACAAGGAGCACAGGGAGGGGAGAGATGTCTTGGGGAAGATGTCATGTCATGCTCAGGATGGGAATCCTGAGTGGAATCATATCTCCTGTGTGAAAGATATGGAGTAACAGGAAGGAGTCACCAAGGTGGTAAATAATGGGGTAGCTGAGAGCTGTTTAACTCCACAGGCCAGGCCATGGTGTTGACAAGTCCATACTTACTGGGTGAGGTGTCCTACATGAGAATTTCCACTGGATTTGTTCCCTCTTTACCTTCGTATGTGCAACTGTCCACAGAGAGTCAGAAACATCGGGGAAACATTTTCCTAGCTGGGGTTCAGATGTTCAAGATCCATAGGCCCTGGCAAGAATACGTATTGAGGTGTCCCTGAGTTTTTGGGAAAATTAAGGGTAGGACTGAATTCAGGCCTTACATGGGCAACCACTGGGACCATCTCCCAGAAATGTCTAATTCTGTAAGAATCCTTGTTTGTTCCCAAGAGTCTAGGAATTGTTGTATTGTTGGCCCCAGATTAGATCTGCAGGGTCTTCTCTGGGTGTGGAGGTTATGGGATATCACAATTCAGGTTTGTGTCCCCCATAATCTTACTGCCTGAGTACATCTTTCTGGGGTGGTGGTGAAACCTCATGTGAAAGGATCTTTTCCTGCATGTATCCCTATTTATTTGGCTATATGACATGTAGGTCCCTCTGCCTAGGAGATGGTGTCCCTAATTCAAACACCTCCCTTCAGGGGATACCACATAGTGCACTGTGGTGGGCAGGACTATGTATGGGAGTGGAATTCTCTAGAGTCTCCCCCTTGTCCTAAGCTTTCAGCCTGAACTCTGGCTCTGAAATCCCTCTCCTTCTATCAATGACCATGAGATTTTGCAGGTAGCATTGGGTAAAATGCACTTCATCTTGGTGTTTCCACCCACATAGGTGTCTCCTGTATATTCCTTTCATCCATTACAGAGCTCAGGCAGCATCCACTTATGGAGGAAAGATAGAGCTGTGATTCCTGAGTTTATCATGTGTTCCCTCCACTGTCACATGACCACTGCCCATCCTCTGAGGGACCATGTGTCGCCTCCACAGTGGAGACGGTGCAGTGGAGACCAACAGGAGGTGGGATCTTGGGAAAAATGTCATCTCAAGTCAACAACAGCATTGCCACATCACATTTTTGTGCATTTATTCTCTCAATACATGACTTCTCATGATAGTCCATGACCATCAAGTATTCACAAGAGCTCAAGAAAATAAGTGCCTCACAACCATTGCATTTCAGATAAGAAATTTTTGATTAGAATTTAATGTGTCATAGGAGGGATGAAGGGTCACTCATACCACTTCAAGGATAAAGATGTTATTTTTACTGCTACCATCTTCACTGGTGTACTTACAGCGATAGAACCCTGCATCCTCCCTCCTGACCTGTTCTATTGTGAGGGTTATGGTGTCTGTGGGCAGTTTTCTCCAATTTCTGAGAAGTGGACTCTGTTGCTTGAAGAACCAGTGGAAGGAGTTCCCACCATCATTTGGTAGGCACATAAGGTACACAGTGTCCTTTTGTTTGGCTTTAATTTTCATCCCTCCTCGAGCAGAGTCATTAGTTGGTTCTGTGGAGAAACAGAGCAGGTGACTGACTTAGCATGGACCTTAGCTGTGTACCCTATTCCTTTAATAGAGATCACAGTCTTTCTTAAGGTGACACTGAGTCTGCAATTTAACCAGAGAATGACAATGGCCTCTGCAGGAGGTTGAGTGTCATTGTTTAAGTTACTATCTAACAGGAGAGGTCTACAGTCCCCTTCATTCTCATGCAGTGACACCTCTGAGGTGTCCACCCTGGCAATCTCTGCAGTGTCAGCTTTAGGAAACTCTTCTCCCATGTCCAACATCCTCATTAATAGTGAAGTTATCTCCATGCATTTTCAGTTAGCCCTTTTCCTAGAGCTTTATATGACTACTAAAATGTGAAGTCACACTAATTCTTAATAGTCTCTGTCAGGATGGTCCGCCCTGCCCATCTCTTGACCAGCGTCATTTGAAAAACTAGAGAGGCATGTGTCTTTTGTTAAATGCTTCCTCAGACACTAATGATGGCCCAACACAGTCTTCATGACCTTAGCACATGGAGATGTTCCAACTTAAAAGAGTTCTCAGTCAATCCAGTGTGTGAAGCGGAATCCACCCACCCATACCCAGAGGTCTGAGAGGAATCACTCACTGTAGATGTTGAGAAGTGCAGATGCTTGTTGAACTTGATTATTTCTCCTTAGGATGTGAAGGGTATAGAATACTGAGTCTTCTTTGGTGATGTTCTGGAACAGCAGGGTGCCATTGAAGTACCCTATCTCCCGACCAGTGTGCTTAGGCCCATTTGTTACCATATGTATATTTACATAAATCACTGTGAGTAAATTATCACGAGTTGTGGTTTTACCTTTGTACCAGCTATAGCTAAGAGGATTCTCTGGCACATTAAGGGCACGCATAAGAACATCAAAGGTTTTGTCAACAGTATTTAGGATTGGCACCATTTCAATACGCAGCTGAGCAGAAATGGGCAGGATCCAGAATGCCAATAGTGGGACTAGGAGGAAAGTGATAGATAGTAATTAATATTGGAAATATCTTTTAGCATGAAAAGGCAATTTCTTTCTCCCCCCCCCCCCCGCAAAGATTTATTTATTTATTTATACAAGCACTGGGTACAATCAGAAGCGTGGGAGGGTGAGAGAACTCACCAGAGCCAGAGCGGGGAACAGAACAGGCAGACCGATGAAATACATTGCTGAGGGGAGCAGCGGGTGCAGCAGGAGAGGTCTGTGCACCATGTGGGACCCTCGCCGGAGCCGGGGATCAAACCGGCGCTGCAGAGGCTGTGGGCAGCTTTGCAGCCCAGCGCTCAACCGCTGCGCCACTGGGGAGGCCCGAAAAGGCAATTTCTTAATACCATGGGCTTAATGTATGTATGGGTGGGTCTTATTCAAGGTCAGCAGCATGACCCCCATTACCTCAAAAACTGAATTTGTCATTTTTTCTGTTTCATATATTCTTATTTTTTAAAGATTTATTTATTTATGCATTTAAGAGCTGGGGTTCAGGCCAGAGATGCAGGGGATGAGAGGATTCACCAGAGACAGAGTGGGGTACAGAACAGGCAGACTGACTGAAATACACTGCTAAGGGGAGCAGCGGGCGAGCCAGGAAATGTCTTCCTCACCATGTGGGTTGCTCCCTGGCAGCCAGGGATCGAACTCGTGCTGCAGAAGGTGCGGATTGCTTCGTGGTGCGGTGCTTAACCCCTTATGATACCAGGGAGGCCCTGTTTCATGTATTCTTCCCTAGGTCTTCTGGCTACCCACGACCTGCCCTCAGACCCCTGCTCACACTCAGGACTTCCTTGGGAGATGCCTCCCTGACCCCTGCCCTGAAAGCCCTCTGTCATTTGTGACCATTGTCTGCTCTGTGCCCTTCTGATAATTGTCAGAACCTGACAGCGCATTCTAGTTCTTTGTTCTCTGTTTTCTCACCAAGAATGTTCTGCTCCATCAGGGCAAGGATTTGTGTGTTTTTGTTGTCCCCCCAGTGGAGGGACAGGCTGCCAATCCTGTGGGTGAATGAGTGAGTGCTCCTAGGCCCTCCTGTCATGGTGTTTATTTACACTGTTGTGTGTGTAGAGAGTAAGGACAATGCTGAGTGTCTTGGTTATATTTATTTATATATTTTGAGTGCAACCCCTATATAAATTGTTTTTGTCTTCAGTTTCAAAGTTATTTCTCAGAGATGACCTCTTTGGAAAATATGTAATATTGAGGTTTTTCTTTCCCTTATCACTTCAGATTGTAGGAAATTCTGTTTCTTACTCCTGGCTCCCATCCATCCTACTCTACCCCTGTGGTTCCCCTTAAATTCAAAGAGAAGCGCTCTCTACCCTCTTAGAGCTTTGTCCTCCTCCGGAGAAAGCCTGGTGTCCATTCTTCATCCTCCTCCCTCTCCCTGCAATAATTATCCCTTCTTACCTGCCAGCAGGAGCCCCTGCCAGGGGACAAGCCTCCTGTGTTCATGGGCTGAGGGAACCTTCATGGTGTCTGCCACTTGCTCTGTGCTCCCTCTGAGAGAAGAACTTGGGCTTCAGAAAGGCTCCCAAGCATGGCTGCTCCTGAGAGTCAGCGCTGAGGTGCTTCCTCCTCTGCGCTGAGCTGCCTTCTGGGGCAGGAGGGTTTTCAGAGTCATGTGGCCCAAGGTGGGGGTTTCTGCCTTGAACAACCCCTCTCTCCTCCCCTACCCTCCCCTATCTAACTTGTTCCCTTTCCCTTCCCTTCTGTCCTTTCAACCACACTATGTCATGTATCTAATCTTTTCTCTTACAAAATCGCACCACTATTTCTTTTACCTCTTTATATCAAATAATGTGGTCTTTTTTTCTCCCATAGAGCATAGTTTTCTTTTTATTTATAATTACATGTGGTAATTGAATTCCTAAAACTTAGAACCATACTTTCTACTGAGCACTGAAATCAGCATTTGTGAACTCTTGTGAAATATTCCTTTAGATTGGAAATATATGAGTGTATCTCAATTTTTCTAAAGATGTGTGCTTTCTGGTAGTTCATTAATTCAAAGTGTCTCAAATCATCTTTATTACTTGGCCAAATCTCTCTAATTCCTGTGTATAGAAGTCAAAAGTAAACATCCTATGATGATTCATTAATGTTTCAGATCTTTGTTTATTTGGAAAGGATCTAGCAACTCAGTGAATTCCCATCATTCAACATATTCAGCATCATTCAACAAAACTATAAAGTTGCAGTTTTGTTTCTTGGTGGCCAGAACATCACTGAGAAGTAGTCCACACACCTGGGCAACAATTTCCATTGCAGCTGCTTGTCAAGTAAAATTCAAAAGGCCTTTGACACTGTTTTTTTTTTTTTCTGTTACTAATACCCTCATGAAAGTAGCAGTTTAAAGAGAGATGAATCACATGAGCAGTTTAAAGGGAGATGAATCACATGAAATGCATGGGTCTGGGATTGGCCTCTAGATGTATTTCTAGTATTTTAGAGTGGAAAGTATTTCATTGGCTTCTGGAGACATAGCTTAGGGGGAAAAGCAGAATAGAAGTTTGCAAATGGAACTTTTCTTGACCTCAGAATTATTATTTAAATTTTCTTACAATATTTTGTCCAGATTTAGCCAGGATGAGCAGAAAGTCTTTCTGGAAGTATTAGACAATTCAGTGTATCCAAGGGACATTCTCAAAAGAGTGGAAATGATGTCCTCGCCCTAGTATCCACAAGCATCCCTACAAAGAGTCAAAAGCAAGCATGTCCTAGGTGGTTTCCCTAAGGGCTGGCAGCAGAGCCTGCCTCCACCTGCTCTTGCCGTCCTGGTCCTGCCATGGAGAAGTATTTGGAAGCTTGTTGTTAGTAACCCCAGGATGGACAACAGGGTATTAAGCTATATGAAGTATGGCAGAGGGAGAAAGACAAATGCCTATTGCTGTCACTCATGGAAGGATAAAGTAAGAAAGCAAATGACCAAAGAAAGCAAGACAACAAATTGAGATTTAGAGAACAGGCTGGTGGTTACCAGAGGGGGAGGAGGCTGAGGGATTGATGGGTGAAATAGGTAATGGGGTAGAAGCCAGACATTTTGTTTGATATGAAGAGTTAAACAGATTTTAAATACATTACTGTACACTTGAAAATATATAATGATATACACCAATGTATTGGTGCCCTGTGTAATCTGTATGTTAACCTGTGACTAGATATTTTGTGCAGTGCGGGGAATGGGGAGAGTTTGGTCAAAAGTTGCCAGGTTTAGAGACACTTTATGGGGGGTGGGAGGTGGGAGGGGAGGGATTGGGGTCAGAATGGGGGGTTTGCAATTGTATGGGGGAATATAAAAATAAAATCTATTATTTAAAAAAAAATAAAAAAAAGTAAATAAACAGAGTTTGCATTTGTTTTATTTATAGTGCCCCTAGTGGAGAGAATACAGCTAAACACGTAGTAGGTTTTCAATAACTGCTAGTTGAATGCATCAATAAATTACATTAACTGTTGTGAGTTATTGTAAAAAAAAAAAAAAGTTGCCAGGTTTACAGATTTATGGTCAACTAATCTTTGACAAAGGAGCAAAGACTATGCATTGGAGCAAAGAAAGTTTGTTCAATAAATGGTGCTGGGAAAACTGGGTTGCTACATGCAAAAGAATGAAGCTTGACCACTACCTCACACCATACACAAAAATTAACTCAAAATGGATTGAAGAACTAGACATAAGACCTGAAACCATAAAATATATAGAAGGAAATATAGGCGAAACACTACGTGATTTGCACATCAAAGACATCTTTACAGATACATCACCCAAAGCAGTGATAGTGAAGGCAAAGATAAACAGCTGGGACTACATCAAATTAAAGAGCTTCTGCACAGCAAAAGAGACAATAACAAAAACAAAGAGAAACCCCACTGACTGGGAGAACATTTTTGCACCCAACACTAATGATAAAGGACTGATCACAAAAATCTGCAAAGAGCTGATGAGACTCAACAACAACAAAGAAAATAACCCAGTCAAAAAATGGGCAGAAGAGCTAAAAAGAAACTTCTCTGAAGAGGAAATGCAAATGGCCAACAGGCATATGAAAAAATGTTCAACATCACTTGTAATCAGGGAAATGCAAATCAAAACTACCATGAGATACCATCTTCCACCAGTGAGAATGGCACATATTAAAAAAACTAGCAACAACAAATGTTGGCAAGGGTGTGGAGAAAAAGGAACTCTTCTGCACTGTTGGTGGGAGTGCAAACTGGTCCAACCACTATGGAGAGCTGTGTGGAGATTTCTGGACCTACTAAACATAGAGCTTCCATATGATCCAGCAATTCTACTCCTAGGTATTTACCCAAAGGACACAGAAACATCAATTCCAAAGAGCACCTGCACCCCCTATGTTTATGGCAGCACTGTTTACAATAGCTAAGCTTTGGAAACAGCCCAAATGCCCAAAAATAGATGACTGGATCAAGAAGATGTGGTACATATATACCATGGAATATTACTCAGCATTCAAAATAGATAAACACATGCAATTTGCAGCAACATGGATGGCGCTGGAAGGGATCATGCTCAGCGAAATAAGCCAGAAAGAAAAAGAAAAATACCGGATGGTCTCACTCATAGCAGGAATCTAGAAAACTTAAATAAGGGACCAGGAAAATGAATAACTATAAGAAAGTGAAAATCAAAATCAACAAAAAACTATGAACCAGAGACACTTTTTGGGGGGTGGGGGGTGGGAGGGGAGGGATTGGGGTCAGAATGGGGGGTTGCAATTGTATGGGGAATATAAAAATAAAATTTATTATAAAAAAAAAGTTGCCAGGTTTATGATGAATCAGTTGTGAGTGTCTAACGTCCAGTATGGTGACTATTGTTGATAATACTGTTTTGTTGGATGGAATTTGTTTTTACTCAGAGGAAAATGAGTATTTGGTCATTTGCTCCTGAATTGCTCCTGAATTGAGCTCAAAGCTACCTGCATAGAAGTTGAAGTATAACTGTGGCAGTTTATGACCATGTGGTAGAATTTCTCATTAGTCTGTGGTTTGTTACTGAGACTTTAACTAATAGATCAGTTGTTTGAAAACACATTTTTTGCAAAGTTCCTTAACTTTCTGAAGATAGGTATTTGCATATGTAGACATTTTTACATATATTTTTTTAAAGATTTATTTATTTGTGCATATAAGAGCTGGGGTACAGGCCAGAGATGCGTGGGGTGAGAGGATCCACCAGAGACAGAGTGGGGAACAGAACAGGCAGACTGACCGAAACATACTACTGAGGGGAGCAGCGAGTGAGACAGGAGAGGTCTGCCTTGCCATGTGGGTTGCTCCCTGGCCGGCCAGGGATCAAACTCGCGCTGCAGAGGCTGTGGATTGCTTCATAATGCTTTGCTTAACCCCTTGTGCCACCAGGGAGGCCCATATGTAGACATCTTTTTTTTTTTAAGATTTATTTATTTATGCATATAAGAATTGGGGTACAGGCCAGAGGTGTAGGGGGTGAGAGGATTCACCAGAGATGGAGTGGGGAACAGAACAGGCAGATTGACCTAAGTACACTGCTGAGGGGAGCAATGGGCAAGTCAGGAGAGGTCTGCTGCGCCATGTTGGTTGCTCCCTGGCTGGCTGGGGGTTGAACTCGCGCTGCAGAGGCTGCGGACTGCTTCACAGTGCGGTGCTCAACCCCTTACACTACCAGGGAGGCCCAGACATCTTAATAGATAATGGGAATGCCCAAGTTGGTGAATCTCTTTTTAAAAATAATGCAAGTGCAGGACCCCTCCTCAGACATTGTTTGTAGTGCACCCACTACCAAAGAACCTGTAGTCTACCACCATAGACCTTTGTGCTCTTTCCGTTCTTTGTTCTCCATCCCCTCCCGCTCTGGTTGTCCCCATTCCACAGTAATTTTACCATTTGTTGGGTTCTAAGTGTGTTAGAAAGTACAGTCAATTTCCTTAAAAAGCATTTTAGGGGCCTCCCCTGGTGGCGCAGCGGTTGAGAGCTGGGTTGTGGAGCTGCCCACCGCCTCTGCAGTGCCGGTTCGATCCCCGAGCACCGGCGAGGGTCCCACATGGCACGCAGACCTCTCCTGCTGTGCCCACTGCTCCCCTCAGCAGTGTATTTCGTCAGTCTGCCTGTTCTGTTCCCCGCTCTGGCTCTGGTGAATTCTCTCACCCTCCCGCATTTCCGACTGTACCCAGTGCTTGTATAAATAAATAAATAAATATTTAAAAAAAAAAAAAGCATTTTAGGTTCTAATATTCCTTTGTGACATTTCAGCACAGTTATCTATGAACCTATCTGTCATGATTTTCAGCTTACAGTAGTAAATATTTACTTCTCTTCAACTCTATTGAATTTTCCACCTGTTTACATAAATAATGAGATTTGGGAGTAAAACCTCACACCATATGTGCACACATACTTTATCCACCCTCACAAAATCTCTGGTTTAAATGTCCTAGCCCTCCTCCCTCTCTCCATCCTCTTTGGTGACCAGTATATTTCTCCTGGGGTGT